CCAAAACTACTATCAGTAGTAATATTAATACAAATCGTTAAAATTAATATGAATACGGGTACTAGTGCGCATATATACATATACTGATGTGTACTAATGTGTACAAATATACATACTACCAACTTAAAATACCGACCTCGGACATATAGGGCTTCTAGAAGGTTGATACCTCGCAATATTAAACTCTTAAAAATTCCAAAATTCTAAAATCTTTGGGGCTAAGAAGTCCAGAATTCCCAAATCCCACTTTTTCTGAGGCCAATAATTCCAAAATTCCAAAAATCCAAATTTTTTGGGCCCAATAATTCCAAAATTCCAAATTTTTTTGGGGCCCAACAATTCCAAAAATCCAAATTTGTGGGGCCTAACAATTCCAAAATTCCAAGGCCTAACAATTCCAAAATTTGGAATTTTGGAAATTTGGTTTTGGAAATTTGGAATTTTGGAATTGTTAGGCCCCAAAAATTTGGAAATTGGAAATTTGGAATTTTGGAAATTTGGAATTGTTAGGCCCCAAAAATGTAGAATTTCGGAATTTTGGAATGTTTAACCTCAGAAAAAGTGCGATTTTCGAATTTTGGACTTGTCAGCCCTAAAGATTCTGGAATTCTAGATTTTCAAGTCCCACTCCCTCCATGACAAGCACGATCCGCGCGTGTCATGGAGGGGGGGTTAGCATGCATATATATATATAGATATATGTTTATGTATATGTATATGTGTGTACATATCTCTCTGGTGCATGTCTGTATAAGTATATGCATGTATGTGCATATGCATATACATGTGCTGTATGCCACAAATGTCTGTGTGTATATGTGTGCCTGTATATGTAGATGTATATGCATATGTACTTGAGTACATGTACATGTATATGTGTATGTGTATGTGCATATACAAGGAATATATGTATGTGTGTGCGTGTGCAAACAAGCAAGTAAATGAATATATATATATATATATGTATGTATATATACGTGTGTGTGTGTGTGTCTATGTGTGTATATATATATATATTGTGTATATTTATGTTTGTATGAACATGGTAAATGTAAGGGATTGCATGACTTGAATATCAGACCGACCAATGAACATTAAGGTAGCACTCCGTTGTGGGCATCCCTTCCGCAGAACATGTCGAAACCTTGTTGGCAATAGCCCAGGGGACATGATTTGTTGCAGAGCTGAGACTCTGTTGCTACAACATGTTGCGGCTTGGCCGTAAGGCCCCCATGTCAAAGTGGAACTCAACACAACACACGCACACACACACACACAAAGGAAAAAACATGCTCAACAGACGTCGAAATGTGGCAAAGCATGGAAAACCACAATCCGGAATCGTGACGGTTGACACAATTAACTATCAACAGCAAATCAAGAACTCCGAAGACAGCTGAGGCGTTCACTGCCACCCAGGTCGCAAGGGTCTCGGTGCTTTCGGTCTGGTCGGCCTGATGAGAAGCTTTTCTGCGGATGGCTTGCAAGACAATGCTCTTCGGCCTTTGCCCTTCCTAAGCTCCTCTTGGCGGTCACCGGCAACAGCTATCCACTGCTTTGGCACTTGAATGCTTTGACCCGTTAGGACGATTCAATCTGGTGTTGAGTATTTCGCTCTGCATCTGCAAGAACAGCTACGCATGGCTGCTCAAGTTGTAGTTTGTTATGCAGGGTTGATCATGCTGTACGCCTGTATACAACTTATATACTATATCTGTCAACAACGCCCGATCACGTGGCATCATACCTTGTCTCTGCACAGCACTCCGGGGGTTCGTTTTGGGGCTTAAGAGCAGCCAGACAGCTGAAACAGAGGCACTTACTGCTGCGTCCTCGAGTCTTTGTGGCCACTTCCCAACCTGTCTGCACCAGCCTTTCATCCAATTTAGCTGACCCCCTCTCCCCTTACCGATGGCGAACACACACGCTGTGACATGCCGTGGACCGTGGAAATGCTGAATGCTGAGCTGGGAGGCCGGGGGTCCTAAAAAGCGCAGCAACCTCACTTCGGCTGGGTTGCTGCGGGGCTGCTCTTGAGACTAGTTGCCACATAGTAGAGTCGCTAGTCGCTTGCAGAGTACATGTTGTAGCCGCGATAGCTGCAGGCGCATCGTTTCGCAAGCGATCGGACTGCGCAGGGAGCATGCGCCTGAATCACCGTGCCCGCATTGCGGATCTCTGCAGAAGGCATGGGGGACACGTCGGGAAGTGAGGACCTCGTCTCCGCAAGAAGAGCTTGGGCCTGACGTTTGTGGGGTTAGGTGAGGCTTACTGCTACCTCGGCTCGGAAGCCTTCGGATTTGTTGAAAGAGTATGCTGCCTGCTTGAGTACTACAACTTGGAGATTGGAGATTCGAAGGCCGGGTCCATGCTGAGTTTGGAATGGTTTGCTTCTCTTCTTGCTCAAGGAAGGTGTCGACTGCAACAGGATTCTGGGTGCAAGGTGCAAAATCTGCATAACTCGCAGGGGCTACCCAAAGCTTGGGCAAGTGTTCAATGACCAGAATCCCCACGCAAACACTCTCGAAGCATCCGAACTCCAGACTGCTTGCTAGCTCCTAGCCAACACTGAGTCATTGGAGCTCCTTCCCAGTCAACTCCAACGAGGCCACGACTGTGACGGCGATGACACTGGCCGTGGCCGCAGCTCCGGAGCATTGGGCTCCTGTGGCTCCTTCTCCAAGACCGCTCGCGGCTCTTCGCCCGCCAGACGGAGTTCCGCGATGGCGGGGCCTTCAAGCAGTACGCTGATTCATGCCATCTCAGGCCAACACCACTGCGCTTAGTCTATACACATTGTCCACTGCACTTACCAGCATCGCCTCCATCAGCACCAGAAACATCCCAGTCCTCTTCATCATTATCAGCACCATCATCACCGTCATCACCATCATCATCGCGGCATATTCGTCATGAACATAAGCACCGCCATAAACATACTTACCACACCATCATCTCCTCGCCGTGTTGCTTTAGACCTGTGTAATCTTGTCGTCTGTGGGTTGCACTTCACATCACCATGTTCTTCTTCCTAATCGACATCATCATCATCATCATCATCAGCAGCAGCATCATCATCATCACCATTATCACCACCTTCATCATCACCCTCGTCATATCATCTGTGCCAGCATACCATCATCACCACGACCACCATTACCAGCAAAACATGACATGACGCCATCATGACGACTACCACTATCACTGTATCACCACACCATACCCTCGTCGTCAAGTTGTGGCTGGCCTGGGCATTCTTCTTATCGTTGCACTGTGTAAAATCATCGGCATCATCATCCTGATAAGTGTCTTCGTCATCATGGTGGTCAACCCATGTCTTCATCAGTGGTCGGGCGCACGGCCATCTTTGTTGTCGATCGTCGTCCTCCCACTGTTCCTGTTCCTTTCTCCTCCCTCACCTCCTGTTCTCCTCGTCCTAGTCCTAGTGTGGGTTCTGGTGGTTCCGTTTAGTTTGTAGTTTGCAGTCGTCGTAGACCATTGTCGTTGTTCGTGTCTAGTTGCATCTGGCCTGCGCAGTGTGTGCGCCTGTGCTTCTTTTGCTCGTTTCTTGTGGTGGTTTCTTGTTCTTGGCTTGTGTTCGTTCTTCCGCCTGTAGACCAGCAACTACTGCAGACATAATAACAACGAAGACGACAAGGAACCATATCATTGTCAATGGCATCAAAGCACGCGGAACATCACAGACACTAACCAAGCTCTGCTTGCGCAGGAGGCTCCCAACCCTGGAACCCTGAAACCGAACCGAAACGTGATTGCTAGACACCCCCAGTTCCTTCAGGATGCTCTTCGTCGGGAAAGTCGTCGGGGGCGCTCGCCGCCGAACTCTCGGCTGAGCTCTCTATGCCCACCTCAGCATATGAAGCTCTACCAGAGAGAAGGAAAGCAGCACACGACTCGGGTTCCGAATGCCCGAATGCCGCCCTTCGACTAAACATGCCTGCTTGTAGGTTGGTGCTGCAGCTTGTTCTCGCTGCGAGTTCAACTTGATCACACAACACTATCACCGCCCCCCGCTTTCGTGGCCGAGCTGCATCGTCGTACCCCTGTGCGCCCGCTTCCACCAATGCCTGATCCTGGCACACCAGCGTCAGCAAGAACTACTTTATCTTATCAGGCACGGCGCAGAATAAAACACCGTCGGCAACTGTTCCTACTACTTCATCGCTCACCTTCTCCTGCTTCTGTGCGCCAGCATCATGTGGAGCAGCGAACGGTGGCCTGCATGCAACTAGCCCTCTTTCTAGGGCATGAATTCAAAAGTGAAAGTGGTAGCAGTTATGAGAGCAGTTATGAGACCAGCCGGTGTAACGTAGACGACAACAACAACAACAACAACAACAATGATAGCAGTCAGCATAAGTAAAACTAAGCGGGTCGGAGTCTGAAGACTGAAAACGGCAAGACTTGCAACAACCGCCGCACATGGAATAGCAACGAGAATACTTACCAACGATTCAAAGTAGAATTCCATGCATCACGAGACGTGGACCACTGTGGAATGTGAGCCCAGGTGTTCTTTTGCCTCGGCGACGTGTCACCGTCCGTCTCACCCCTCCGGGCGGGCATGCCATCCTGGCGAAATGTGCGGGTTTCCAGAACAGGAATTCCAAAGGTCGGAGCCTTAACACTAAGCCTGCATATGCACATTTTGGGGAGGGTTCGATGGAAGAGTTCAAGCCTCCCGCCTGGAGATCGGTTCTACTCGACACTGCCCCAGGAGGAGTCTTCGTGCGCATGTCTTCTTTGGAAGCTTCTGCGAGGCTCGGCAAGGAGTCGCCGGGAATGGTGGCTGTATCCTGGACACTCTCAGCAAGATCTTCGGACGGCGGGTCTGCATGAACCTCCAGCTCGTCCTGGACCTGCGGCAGCTTGGATCAAAGCTTCACCGGGCGTAGTATAGGACACTTGCTGACGCCGGCACCTGCAACTTGCGGGCACCCAGGAGATCCTCCAAGCGTCAGCATCTTTACGGCGATTTTACCAAGGCTCCGGCATGAGCCACTGTCGCACAGATGCTGGTCCTGCTTGATCAGGTCCGCCACGGGAACGCGGGTCGAGGGCCTCCTGGGAGAGATTGTCCTGTTGCTGTCAATCACCTGCGTGGCCTCGTCCGCGCGAAACAGAAGAGGACTACAAAGTCCGAGCTGACACGAACACTTCCCCCGCTCTTCACTGCAAATCAGCACTTCCAGAAAGCTTGCCTCCAGCCCATGGCGGCTGACCTCTTCCGTTGTCCGGATGGCGGCCGTGCTCGGTTGCGACATGGGCCGCGACGGACTATCGTTGACAGGATCTTCACCTGAGATGCAGGGTCTCTGCGAGCTCTGGGACTTATCTAGAAGACCTCTCCAAGCGCTGCACATGTAGCCGAGACACCCTCGGCCAGGGCCAGCAGCTCTGCCTCTTAGAAGCGAAAGGTGTGCCAGTGACTGCCAGTCGCGAACCCCCATTTGCGCCTGCCCGGTCTGCGCCAGAAGCTCCGCTTGCGGGGCCACGTCCGCGGCCTGCGGCGTGGGCTCCTTCTGGCCTCGAACTCAATGCTGAAGCCAAGCGCGTGCGGAGTCGGAGATCGGATCATGCAGAAAAGACAAGTTGCAGGCGGCCTCGGATCGATCGTGAGCTGCTCTCCTCACGGAAGCTCGCTTGCCTTGCCACGGGTCTTAGAGGTAAGGCTCTTGGGGCAACGTCCTTGGCCTGGCCTGAGAGTCGTCGACCGCTTCGGGCTCTTGGGACTCTTTGGGCTTTGGGGACTTCGGGGACTTCGCGGGCTCTTGGGACTCTTCGGGCTGGCCGGCTCCTGGCCCTGGCGAGCGCCCTGAGCGCCCTGAGCTCCCTGAGCGCCCTGGGCCTTGGTCTTGGAGCTTTTTGGGCTCTGGGCCTCCTTGGAAGCCTTCGGCTTCCCAGTGCTCTTGGGGCTGGAAGGGGTCCGTGGCGTCCGCGGCGTCGACTCTGGCCCTTCTGGCAGCCCAGGGCCCGAAGGACCTGAGACTTTCAGGAAGAGGCAAAAAGAACCCTTCTTCACGGCACCGGTCTCTTGTAGCCATCGCCGTCCAAGCGGCTCTCATAGCCGCTGCCATGAAGGCTTCCAACATCTTCTTGCATGTCAACTGCCTGGGCCGACGTGAGGTTGTGCCCACAGCAACTGCAGCTCCCTCTGCACAGCCGAGTCCAAAGCGTTTGCTTCGGCGGCAAAGTCTTCATCTCCCATGCCTCGTCCTTCGGACTGCGGAGGGTCGTGCAGGTTAGCACGCAGTGGAACTGGCCATGCTGTGTCGTGCATAGTAACGCTGAAACCACGGGGAAAGACGCAGCTTTAAGGGCCAGTCTTGCAAGAATCTACTACTGCTACTGATACTGCCAGCACTGTGCCTACTCGCACTTGTAGGCAGCACGAAGAAGTCGTCTTAGAACGCTAGGCTGGCAGCAACAGCACCAGCACAACCACCCTTACCTTACCTTCACTGCAGCTGCCAAGCACAGAAGGCCACAACGAAGAAAACTACCAAGACTGCTTACCGCTGCTGTGCCTTCCACCATTGCCGTTCGTGCCACATCCTCCACTATGACACTCTTCTCCTCCCCATCCTCGTCCAACTAACAACTGCTGCTGCTGCTGCTGCTGCTGCTGCTGCTGCTGCTGCTGCGGCTGCTGCGGCTGCTGCGGCTGCTGCGGCTGCTGCCGCTGCTGCGGCTGCTGCGGCTGCTGCGGCTGCCGCTGCTGCTGTTACTAGCGCTACGTATCCCAAATGAGAATGCCCTTTCCACTGCCGCAGGCCATCGCGGTAGCTGCTCATGGCTACTGTGGCATTGTCTTTATTCTCGCGTGCACTGCCACAGCTGTAGCAATTCTTATTTCTCGTTATAACTCACAAGGACTGACATAAACGGACAAGAACAGCAGTACTCGTGCATCGGCCTGGCCTTGCTCAACAGCACCCTCTTCGAGACCAATCTCCTGCACTGGGACCAAGTTTGTGATTCAGTTGTCAAGGTGGACTGAACCCCAAAAAGGCTAGTATGCCACTCAGTTCTGTCACACACCACAACGCACGAAGGCTGCTTCAGCACAGAAACCACCGCAACAGTCTGCAATTGTCGTCTTGCCTGCTCTACCCGCATCCAGAAATCCTGACGAGCCATGATGGGGCCTCCACTGCAGCCAACCCCTGGTCTGGAGCGACAGGCTCTTTCGTTGCGGCTGTGGGCAGAATCGGCTCGTCCGCAGCCTCTTCCTCTTCTTCATCCTTGGGCACCCGAATCACAGGAAACTTCCCTCCCCTCACCGGTCCCCCTTCTGCTGGACGCGCGAGGATCCAGCCTCTTCTTGAAACTCTTCTTCTCCGCTTTCCAGAATATCCTCCTCATCTCCCTGCCGGACGCACGGGGCAGTCAGCAGCTTCGGTGTCGGCGCGGCGCTTCAGAACCCAAGATGTCTGACGAATCCGAGGTAATGCAGCTATGCTTGGCTTGGGTGGCCTCAATCAGAGCAGGTTCGACTTGAGCAGGCAGCTTTAAGCCCTCAGCCAGCTGGCTGACAACCTGAGCTTGCCACGCGCTTGCTGCAGGAAGATAAAACCTCAGAACAGCAGCTGGACCTCTTGATCCAAGTCTGCCAACTCCGTGATCTGTCCTGGACTCCGAAGACATGTATCCAGAAGGAACTACGTAAGTCTTTGTCTAGTTCTCATGCTGGGCGCTCCCAAGTCCTTGAAGATCATCCACAGAGGATAGGTCATCAAGCAAGTTCGTGTTTGAGAATGAGATCATATCCTCTCCGGAGGTTTCTTCAGCGACCTTGCCAGTTGAGACAAGCAAAGACATGATACAATCTATGCCTAGAAGGTCCACGCATGATCAAATGGAAGATGTGTTCTCGGCTGATATCCCCACCGGCGAGTTGATGATTCTATGATGATGTTGACGAGAATGTCACGACTGCGACATGAAGCGGTGATTGTGCTGACTGCGGTGATGATGTTGCTGGTGCTACGCCGACAAAGCAGAGGAAGAAGATCATATTGTGGAGAGGATAAGGAGAAAGAGAATGAGAATGGTGCTGTCGCTGACGACTACTGTATCATAGATCTGATTGGCCGTGATGATGTCGGTAGTGAGATGTCCGACTTGCACCAAGGTTTCTTTCCTTCTTTCTCGTCCTTGTCTGGCCGAGGAGCGCGAGGGGCTGATTGTGCTCGAACAGCCTGCAGCTTCGCTGCGTGCATGATCTCAGGCGATGTGGGACGCCCGTGCCCTGCCTGCTCGTGCACCACTGCCTCTGAGGCCATGGAATCTAAGCCGCCCAGTCCAACCATGGCCTCGATGAACTCCGACTGGGAATGATGAGTTGAGGTCCAAGAAACTCAGGGTCGCGCCCAATGATAAGAATCGCTTTGCTGGAAAACCTGAGTTGGGCAAAACAGGCAACCGCAGAACGTGATTCCTTCCAAATGACTCTGTGTCGATGTTGTTTCCGCCCCTGCCCCTTTCCCTAGGCTCACAAACCATGTGCATCCTTTCATGCGAGGGAGCACGCGCAGCAGTGGCATGGAGAATGCTGAGGAGCTCAGCGGGGGTCATGTCGTCCTGAGCCGTGCTTTTACCTCCCACACCCACCATCTGCGGCACCTGCCCACGTACTTTTCAGTGGCACTGGATGTTTCGAAAACTGTGTGGTCACACCGGTCCTGTGCTCGTGTCTCCGCGAACTCTGCATCTTCCAACATGATCTTCAACGAGTCCACGCCCTCGAAGACAGACTCCACGCTCTGTCCGCCCTGCAACGGAGAAGCTCGGTGAGGGTACTATCAGGGTACGATCAAAGGGCTCAAGAGGGTTCCGAAAGATGTCGATCAGGATCATGAGCTGCCAAAGAAAAACCTTGGACGGATGCAGCTCTTCGGGAGCCTGATGCACAGAGAGGCGGCGATACCTGGCAGCAAATTCGAAGCTAGCAAGCTATCAACGTCGAAAAATCGGGAGCACAGTCATCTTCAAGGTTCAGTGCAAAGAAATTTCGTCAGGGCACGCAGACGCCAACTCGCCATGGAGCTTCTGCCGCTTCTCGAGATTCAGCTGCACGCGCTTCGTCCAGGTCTGACTGAGGCCGACCAGGTCCTCGCAGGCTGGCATGCTACCGATCTGGTAACAACAGTAACAGTGGTACGAGTACTCCTCGTGGCAGGAATAGTATTTTCAACAGGCAGCGGCATGTGACCAGCAGAGAACTGCTCAGTTCTGACACTCACGAATGTTGGGGGAATATGGTGTTGGAGGACAGGTTGTGCTGGAAGCAGACGGGAATCCAAAAGATATGGCATGCTATACTCATTTTCGGGTATACCGGAACCAGGACCACCTCACTTCTTCTTGATGCTGTACTTCATGACGCCGCACTGTTCCTCATCCACGACTGCCGGAAGGCCCATCAGCAAGCCTCCGACAGCATGGCAGGTTCCCTCCGACCTCAGTCAAATAGGGCAGAAGCCAGCAAAACTATGCTTGAGGGAAGTTTCGGGTTCAGGTTCAGGGCTTAGGGTACGACGGGTACGAGTTCTTGGTCATCCGTGGAACCGATGCATGGACCATGCACTAGCTCACTAAATACTGCCTTCAGACGGCAGCGAGATCCCACTAACAGTGAATACAGCGGCAAATAAACTAGCTAACATGAATCTCCATGAGACGCAACAATGTTCATCATCACCGTAACCCTCACCCTTACCATCACCGAGAGGGAGTCGAGTCTTAGCTTGGCTTTGCTTTGCAGGCCTCCAACGAGTCCCACTCGCGCCGGGCCGCAATCAAAGGCAAAACGGGACACCTGGGGCCTCCCAGAACTTCCATGTCAAAACCACCTGCGGTGAGTGCCAAAACTACCCCTCAAAGAATACATGGAATAGTACTGATAATGATAATACGAATACTAATACTAATACGAACACTAACACTAACACTAATACTAACACTAATAATAGTAAAAGCAATAGTAATAACTATACTAATAGTCATAGTAATAATAAATATAACAGTAAATGAAAATAACAATAACAAAAATAATAGTGATAGTAATAGCAATCGTATTAATAATCATCCTCATAATAGTGATAGTGACAGGAATAGTAGTAATAATAGTAGAAATAGAAATAGTAATAGTAATAGTAAAAGTAATAGTAGTAGTAATAGCAATAGCAATAGCAATACTAATAGTAATACTTGTAGTAATAGTAATAGGAATAGCAATAGGAATAGTAATAGGAATAGTAATAGGAATAGTAACAGTAATAGTAACAGTAATAGTAACAGTAATAGTAACAGTAATAGTAGTAGTAATAGCAATAGTAATAGTAATATTGATAGTGATAGCAATAGTAATAGTAATAGTAGTAATAACAATAGTAATAAAAATCATAGTAACAATAACAAGAATAATCATCTGACTCTGTGCAGTCGAGCAACGTATCCTTGTCTTGCGCCTGGCCCGGGATGTCAGGCCGGTTGAAAAAGTTGACAAGACCATCTGCAGGAAGCTTCGTATTGATGCAAATTCTGCAATGCTGATAAAGGTATGTATGATGTACATGTGATGATATTTCTGTCATGAGGGCTGCCAATTAGTCTCGCGCTCCTTCTCGGGGATCGTTACCCAATCTCTGCTCTCATGAACTTGACTATCATCCATAATCCCTACGTCTGCACGTAAAACCCTAAACTTGCCCTGAAATCCAGGGTTTAGGGTGTTTGGGGTTGATTAAAAAAACCCCTGCACTCCCGACTCGGTCTTGGAGCCTCTTCCACAAGCAGAGCTCCAGCCCTGAGCCGCCCACAGCGCTCTCCCAGCTTCAGGGTCAGGTCCGTGAGCCAGCGCATCTCCTCCAGAGCTGAGGCTTCTCAAAGGCTTCGAGCTCCTGGGGCGTGGGGGCATGTGGGGGCGTACAGGGTTCGGGAGGAAAGGTGGGCCTTTCTCTCCTGTTCTAGCTCGCATAGACCAGAGTTTGCTCTGCACAGGAAGCTTGGTCTTCAGGGCTCAAGGCTCGAAAGTGGCGCACTTACCTTGAGTCCAGTGTGGAGGCCCCCTTTAAAAAGACTGAGAAGAGTCTAGCCTGGCTTGGAGAGCCGAGAAACGACACTGGAGTGCTGTGTGAGACTGCAATGCGCCAGCCCACTTTTAGAGTCCAGATTCGGGTGCAATGCCGCGAGCAAGTATAAAGGACCCTACTATATACAGATGCTCAATGACTTGCCAGAAGGACCGCTCAGAGCAGAGCCGTGCTTTAAAAACCTCCCTTTGCCACTCCTCTCGAGTCGTCAGGTCTGCCAGGACCAGAGAGCTGTTCTGCGTCGGTGCCTGGAGCCATCTGGTGGACGTCTCTGCCAGTGTCAAACCTTTCTGCAAGTCCTGGCAGCAAGGGGGAAAATCAAGCCGGAAGACTGCTCTTCGCAGTTATATATATATACACACACATATATATATATATGTACACGCTGTTGCGGCATGTTGTGGTATTTTGCAGGCTCCACTGTTCCAAGAGCTTCAGCCTTCAGAAATACCGTCCCCTGAGGGGCCTAGAATGACTCATACGATCCGGCGCTACATAACAGAGTCTTTCGGATCCTAAACTCGCAACTATAAACCCAAGTCCTCAAGCTTCTGAGTCAGCTCTTCTTGCACCCACGTGAAGCTCGTGGAGTCCGTGCTTGAGTGGTTAGAAAGGCGCGTCCAGCTCTCCACCAGAGCTTCCTGCGATCTTCTGGTGGCCTGCGGACCGGAATACGTCGTATGGTGATGATGATGATGATGATGTGATTGATCATCACCATGATCTTTGATGATGATGATGGTGATGATGATGAGGATGGTGGTGATGACGATGGTCATGATGGTAATGACTAAAACGAGGACCCATAGTCTCACTCAAACCAGAATTGCCATGATTGCTGCCGCTAGACCATGAGACCAGCAGGAGTATAGAAAAAAGCAATTCCCAATATTCGTTTGTCACCACTCATGTTCTGTGAATATGCATGCTGGAGACCAGCATCAGCATCCAGAAAAAAAGGCCAACAGACAGAGCCAACATTGGCATGATCATGATATAAAATGATCCTCATCATCATCACCATCACCATCACCATCATCATCACCATGAGCGTAGTACTGGTACTAGAAGCGAGGACTGCTGCCGTCCGTTGCTGCGCTTGACGTTTTGAGTCGCGACAACCACTACTGAACACTGGCTACTGCAGACTCTCTTGCAGGTCACGACAAGAGTAATTCAAGAGGGCTTGGGAGGCAGCAGGGGGCAGCCGGGTGCCGCCGACCGCCTAACAAAGCTTCCGACGCAACTTCTCCCTGCCAGCGCCTGGACAAGCCCTTGAGACATGCCTTGATGCTCAGATTTCTAACCCTACACCCTAAACCCTAAACCCAGGAGGCCCTCATCCCTGAACTCAACTAGTTATAGGACTAGTGACTAGTGGTAGTACTACTGATAGTAGTAGTAGTAGTAGTAGTAGGAGGAGGAGGAGGAGTAGTAGTAGTAGTAGTACCAGTTTCAGTAATAGTTACATTACGTAAGTCATAGTAACGATAATAATCACAATAATAATGATGACAATAATAACAATGCTAGCAATAAGAATAATGTTAATGCTCAAAATAATAATAATAATAATTTACAGTAATAAGACTTGTTATGGGCACCTCCAGGGAGCGGAGGGACTCCTCCAAGGCAACGTAAACATCATCAGAGGCCAGTAGGCCGCTGATGTCCATCTGGCCCTGCTGCATGTCCTTGGTTTAGGGCTTTGGTTGGGTTTGGGGCTCAGGGTGCGGGGTTTAGGGCTCTTTTGTTGGGTATGTCATAGTAGTCCCTGAGGTCCTCCACTCCGATACTTGCCCCAACATCGCCAAGATTGCCGAGTATCTGCTGCAGTTATTGTTGACATTGCCTCTGCCCGGACGGAGATGAAAATGGCGATGGAGATTGGAGGAGGAGGAGGAGGAAACGATGAGAGTGTGGATCATGACGGTGATCATCTCCACATCCTCGCTTTGTTGGTTGTTGACTGGTTGTTGACGTTGCTGTTGTTGCTGTTGTCGCCGTCGCTTGAGTATGGCCTATTCGGACCAAAGATCAGAACCCGAACCCCCCGAGAGACGAACTGGCGGACCCACCCACCCACCTACCTACCTGCAGATCCCCCCACCACCTAGCTACCTATCCATCTGTCTTTCTTTCTGGTTTTTCTCTGTGGAATGCTGGCGATTTGTCGGGCTGAGCCGACTTAATCAGATTATACCCTCGATCATCCCACAACCGTCGAACGGAAACTTCCACTTGAGGCATGGAGTACTTCCAAAGTGCAGGCTAGCGGCCATGACGAGACTCAAGACCTGGCAACGATTAGGGTTACGATGATTCCTACGATCACTACTGTTACTGTGGTCATTACTCTGGTTCTGGTTGCGTATATTGATTGTCATTATTATGACGATGAGTCGTATTCAGGGTGCTACTATCAGTGTTGGTATTCATTAGTACTGTTGTTGTGATGATGGCATTCATGATGATATAATCACCAGCAGGATCATTGTCAGTATTGGAACTGCTGCTGCAACTGTTGTTGCTACTGCTAGTGCTAGTGCTGTTGTTACTACTGTCGCTTTCGGCAGTACTACAGCAGCAGCAGTAGTGTCAGCATGAGCGTCAACATCATTAGTATGCATAACTACGTAATGTTACTGCAAGACATTATCAGTATACCGATGTTCAAGCAGTCGTCGCAGACCCCTGCAAGAAAGCCTGGGTGTTTGGGACACAGAGACGTGATTCGCGTTTGGGCACACGATGGCGCACAACGTCCGTTGCTGACCAAAGTCAAAACCGTGCCCCTTAAAGCCATGGCCGTCCTTACCACATCGAGAATGCAAGAACCCATCTGCTACAGGTCACTCCAAACTCTGTGTCCTGTCTCCTTCCTAAGGCCGCAACCACCCCTTCTGCGTAACCCTCTCTGCATATTATTGCGTGTAGTTCCGCCCCTCGACGTGTTGGCACGATCCACAAGCACGGCAATTCTCGCTTCTCCACAATATGTAGGAAAAACAAACCGAGAACTTCCACTGGCTTGGAGTAATACATGTCTCGTCTAGCGGACTGTAAGCTTTGCACTCTTGGGCGTGCGGAATTCCTGGTCAGTTCGACCTTCCGGACTTCCGCGGACCTTCCACATCCTTCTCCGCCCCAAGCCAAGGAAGGTTTTCCCTGCTCTGATTTTCAGTAAATGGTCTATCCCTTTCGCCAAGATGCACAGTACAAACAAGCAACCATTGTTGACTTAGAATCAACCAGCTCAGCATGACAACGGCCAACATAGCTCTGCGTGCACAGGGCCTCCGTACGCTGGCGTGTGAGCTCCGACCGGAAAACCTTTGTCAGCTTCTCTCGGGACCTTGGTCTTGGAGTTGGCCAGGTCTCCCCTTTTTGCCGTTGCCATGAGGCGTAAGATCTTTCAAGGCTCAGGTGGACAGAAAAGAACGCCTACCGCACGTCGGCGTCCCGCAAACGAGGACATGACATGGCAGCATCAAGCGAGTCACTGGAGAAAGGTCAATGGTCAATGGTGCATCAACAACCCGCCCACGAGTTCACAACTAAGGGTGGATTGCAAGGTGGCACTTTGTCTCAAGTCACACTCCGTAGAAGTTGTGGCTTGAAGAGGTCCTTCACGAATGTAGTGAACGACTACATTCACACGGCAAACTTGTTGACAGAGTTCTTCTGGCGACCTTTTAGAACGACGCTGTGCATGCCAAGGCGCATCTCACTCGCATCCTGACAGCTTGCACATCAATGGACAGAACTTGCCAAAACGATGCGGCCATTACAAACACTACTGGGGATGAGTCGAAAACTCGAAAACTCCGGTGTTGGCCAAGCAGCGAGCTCTCTTTGCTGCAAGACCTCCGAAACCAGCTGCAGCAAAGACATTGGGGTTGAGATCAGCGGCTTTCCTGAAGGCCAAAACGCAAGACTGTTCTGTCTGAGTCTGATTGCTTCAGCAGTCTTCTGCTATCTGCTGTGTCCTTCGCCTCCTCCGCCTCTACTACAACTACTACTATTACTACCACCACCACCACCACGACCACCACCACCACCACTACTACTACGACGACGACTACTGCGACTACGACTACGACTCCGACTACGAGAACGACTACTACTACTACTACCACCACTACTACTACTACTACTACTACTACTCCTACTACTACCACTACCACGACCACCTCTACTACTGCTACTGCTGCTACTACTACTACTACTACTACTATTACTACTGCTGCTGCTGCTGCTACTACTACTACTACTGACTACGACTACGATTACGACTGCTACTACGACTACGACCACGACTGCGACCACGACGACTTGTTCAACAATTCAGTGTCTTTTCAGTCTCAGAGGGGCCATTTCCACACACAGCCACTCGCTGCGCAAGGGCACGTCAGCGACCCCTTCAGCGTTCTCAATGCGGCCAGCATGGCTGTTGGTCGAATCGGCTTCGCTTTGAAGATGGACCTATGGAAGGCTCACAGGGAAACATGTGCAGGCCAGTGGCCTCAGTTGTTGCATCTGGTAAAGTCTCTCGATATAGGGGCGAGGACGGGTGCAGTGAGGGGGGGAGGGCATGCTTTCAGTCGGAAGGAATAGAAAGAGTGTCGTGTTCTGTCACATTGCAGCAAACCTAATTCATTGAAGTGTCGAATCAAAGTGGTCAATTGACCCGTTAGGTTCTGCATCCCTATCAAGGTTTATTGAAGGTCATTTGAGCAGCCATGCAAGCTGTTGCATGTGGTTCCTACTTCACAGCCGTACCTTCACGGGCGTGCTTGTAAAGTGCGACAAGTTTGAGGTGTTCGTGAGTCACATTTGCAAGAGAACTTTCCCAAATCTGCGTATTTAGTCTGGCAGCATAAGCAAGATGTGTGTGATTTTTTACAAAGCCAGCATGTAGGCTCTGTCAAGGCAGGCATTGAAGCGATTGTTTTTCGGAAGCATGTTGAGCCACAGGTTTGCATGTAAGAAACACACGTGAGCGGTCACTGCGCAGGCCGCTGTGGACGAAATGCGTGAAGACGTGGTTGTGTGTCCTCTACTTCTGGCATGGTGGACGCTGACGGTGCTCGCGGCACCACTATGGATCTTTTACATTTCTCAGCACATTCGTTTTGTTTCTAGGTTGGAATAGTTGTGGAGAGTTGTGTCAGCCTCCTCACAGCCGCAAGGATTTGGCCACTGCTGTTGAATTTGATTCTGTGGCTGTTCGCATGGAGACTGGGCGGGTTGGGTTTCCGAGAAGCACACAAAGTGCAACGGCGGCTTTATGTCGACGAGGATGGTGTTGCGAGCAAGGACGGTCAATGTGTTTTGCTGCATGTGCTGCGTCGAACTCTCCGTGTAGAAAGTCTGATTACGGGGCTCGTACTCGTCACACCGAAATCGGGCCTCCGATTCAGGAAGGCATCGCGCGCACTTCAGTGCTTTCAATTTGTCATGCGACCGAGATTTGTGTCTGTCGTCAAGCTTCTGACAGAGATTTGTAGCGATTTTGGCCGAGCCGCGGAGTCTCGGGCGAGGCGGTAAAGGCCTTTTGCTAGGGGCTTCATCCCAATCTGCGGGCCGCTTGCACTCCAGTCCTGTTGCTTTGAGACATTTGCCAAAACGAGGGCGTCTGCAGTCTGAGTTTGTTGCTACTGGAAGATTGTGCTGTGACAAGTACAGCCTTCCGCACAAGGCTCCAAAAGCCCAAAGCCCAAATAATGCACGCTTGAATCCAGATTGTCAGGACTTGGTGAAGGAAGCGTTTAAAACACAACTCAGCATTATGCAGCTTACGGAGACGTTGAACGAAGCTGCTTCACAAGTGGTCCGGCTCTGAGTGGTAGGCGTTTCTGAAGAGGTTTTTGCAGCCAGGTCTAGCACTTTGCTGAGAGGCTGCAAGGTCCCGTGGTGCCGGGATAGAGTGCTGTTTTGAGATCGTGGCAGCAACGGAGCAAGGGCAGCAAGACGATTGTAGACGACTCGCAGGAGAAGTTGAAGTTTGTTTTCGGGCTGGAAGACCGATGTCTGTGATGCTCTCAGCATTTTGGCCGTGACCGACTGGCGGTGGATAGCGGTGGGGTGTGGCCCCGGGCGCAGGTCCAGCCTTTGCTTCGTGCTTGCGCTTTTGGGATCGCTGGTGCTCTGCGTTTTAGCCGCCATCCTCTACTGGCTGGTGCAGTCTGGGGTCTGGAGGTGGAGGCTGCAATGAAAGGGACCCAGCTCTCGGTGCCATGGCCAGGTACATCCTCTGGCTCCCGGGAAGCTGTGTACTGATGCCGAAGGCAGGTTGCCGGATGACGTAATCCCACTTGCTTCCTGCACACGCAGGCATTGCGATCACCCACCTTCCAGTTCGTGCAGAGACTGGAAAAGCTGAGACTGGAGTTCATGGGCGACGATCTGGACAGGACCGGGCCCGCAACAGCGCATACCTTTCGACTTACCCATACTCTTGCGAGCAGGATCCTCCATGGCTTTTGGCAACGCATGCCTGATGGCACGGAGGCTTTGCAGCATTCTTGCTAGATCAAGCGCAAACCATGGATTGCACGAGGGGTTGTCTATGGGGCAAGCCTGGCAAGCTCGACTTGTTTTATTTACACTTTCTTGCACTGTAGACATCACTTGGATGTGACACAAGATGTATTGTTCGTGTGTGTGCTGTGAGATGCATTTGTGATCAGACACTGATCACCAGAGAGTCAGCAACCCGTAGCAAGAGCGGCCGCGATGGGAAACATGTGCCAGCACATTGTGGCCCGGTAACAACTGATGTTTCTGAGCCATTCTGCATTCAGCCCTCCAAGTCGAAGCCGTCTTGTTGCATAGTCTACACGTGCACCTCATGGCTGACCAGATCTTCATCTCACGTGCTGTTGCAATGCCGCAGGGGGGAGAGGGAGGCTGATCAGCTTTGGTATTCTGCCAGGCTTCCCACCTCCACCTCTTCAGGCATCATGTGCTTTGTGAGGAGATTGCCGACAGCTAGTGGTGCTGAGCCTCCAGAAGCTTGCTAAACCGAGATACCAGATCTGGTTTCGTTCAGCGTCGGTACCCAATGCTGGTGTCGACGTGCAGTTCTACCAGACTCGCGCTCTTGCGTTTCAAAAAAGCTGTGGGGGTTTGTTCGCTCAAAACTCTACACCATTGCAGTCCAGTGAGGCTGAAGGACGAGATCACGAGGCGGCGCCTCAAAGTCGCTTCTTGGAGGCAAGGGACCGCGCTTTGCCCACAGGATCCAGCACTCCTTGACCTCGGTAACTTCGGAGTTCGAGGATTGGTTTCAAACCACTGCCACTGACCAGTGGTCAGATCTGTTTCTGTGAGGAGCACAAGCGAGCGTCCACTTCCACGCACAACAAGCTTCAGTCTCAGGCTGGAGCCATGGAAGGGCTTCCCCTACCCACCATTGTTTCTCCCATTCACATGGTATAACTTCCGTCTACGTGCTACTGTATAGTTCGATATTACATCCTCACACACTGTTACGTGGTGTTACTTGATGTAACGGGATTTTCCATGAACATATCTAATTGGTAAACTGTGACAGAGTATGACATCTGATGGTCGAAGGTAAAGCCATAGATCGTGGTATCGCATGATCGTAGACTATACCGACTATACTGCATGAAATTTCGCGATGCTGTTCGACATGTTTTATGCGACTGCCGTCAGAAGATCATTCCACGTGGTATCACATTGCGCGATCAGGGGAAAGACATGGTACACTATCCTGTCGCAGTAGACATACATGCGGACGGCATTTTTTGAGCAACAAGATTTCACAGGAGATGGCAGGAAGTTGGCTGCAAAGAGCTTCACAATGAGCCGTGCTGGCAGCTCGCCGCCAGATGATTATGACATGAGAAATGCCAAGTAATCAACGTACAGGTTTACTCCGCTGGGCTGACCGCTTGCGAAACTTCCGCCACCGCGAGTGCAATTGACAATAAACACAACTCTTGGAAAACTGACCAAACGCCGAAGTCCCGTGCTATGCCACAACTTCGTCAAGTGTACGGTACGGGCAACCGGCTTCATTCGGGGCCGCCTGGTTGAATTTCAATTGAAGGCCTGCCTCCCTTATGAAAGGGGGTTTCGTCTCCAGGTACCCCACCGATCGCAGGGTCTGCAAGACCCTCTGAGTCCAACCACAATGCGTTCTCTAGCTTCGTCAATCTTCAGCAGTAGCGCTGGTATGAACAGCTTGTGTGCAGGACTCTGCGGTGTCCTCGCTGATCGTGGCCACAAGCGTACACGGGAGGATTTCGCAGAGCAGGCAGCAGAGGTTTGCACCAACCCAAGGCCCTGCACGTTCGGGGGACAGACCGTCTCACTTCTGCGCGACAGCCTAGAAAGGCTCGAGTCCTTGGCGCTGGAGGCATCCGAGGCCCACGGCCAAGCAGGCAAAAAGGCCCAAGATTTGGAGATGTGGACCAGTGGGGCCACCCCGGACGTCCTTGCCCACGGCCCACCCGTCCGCGGGTACTGTACCCATTCTTGTTCCCGGCTCGAACACACACGATTTCCGTTGTGTGGGACTACGCTTGCGACCGGTACTCTTGGGCGAGACAAAGCAGCACCACGAGGAGCACGTCTGTGTTGAAGGGCCACTGATCCGTCCGCCCGACAGCGCCTCTTCCGGATGTAAAAGTCCACTGAGCGTCTGGTCGATCTGTGCCCGTCCTTCTTTTGCACTAATTAGCATGTAGCATTCATGTCCGTTACGCCCTTCGTTGCGGCCGCACGGTGAGCGCTTTTTAGAGCTCGGCAAGCTGCCTTTACGCCCGGCCGATCTGAGCTTGCAGGCGCTTATTTCTGGCAAGGCCGCTCCTCATCCTTTTGCCAAGGCTGTTGCTGATTTGGTCCGCCCGACTGAGGCCAGCACTGCAATTCCGTACGGAGGAGTAGGCTATGACTATGACTTCGGTCTGCCAGTGCTGCTTTTGCCTCGGATTTGGTTTCTCCAGCACAAACCGTGGGTCTTCCCCCGCGACCGGCTTCGTCACCGGCTTCATCCTCCTCAGCCACGAGTAGTTTTGAGCTGGTTTCTGGCGGGTTGGTTTCGGTTTCGGTGCTTTTTGCTTCGGTCCCGCCGTGGCTTTCGCCTTCGTCTGTTGCTCCCTCCTGCTTGGGCCTGTTGCCCTACAGTGATGTGCGCTCGGCGGTGCCCGTGCCCCTCTGCTCCGGTTGATCACATGCTTCATGCCATTGCACGCAATGCACCTGCCACTGGAACGCTAGTTTGACCGATGGACTTCATGGTCCCGCCGCTGTGCGGCTTCCGGCTTCAATCCCGCCGCTCTTCCACCCGGCTTCCTTCCGGACTGGATTGCTTCTCGGGCAAGCGCGGCTCCGTTGAAGGCGTTGCCTTACATGTGCAGAATCGCTGGACTCTCCTCTATGCCCTATGCCAAGCGCTTGCGGTGGCCTCCGCTCCGCCCGAGCACAGTGAAAGTTTGCCCCTGAGCCTGTCGTTCGTGAATTGGTTGGGACGTTCCGTCTTGGATCCGTCCACATCTGCTGCTCACGTCCTTCATCTGGGCTACTTGCTCGCCTGCGTCTGGGCCTCACTTAGGTTGGGTTCGGTCTGGGTCGCGCCCACTCGCATGCTCTGGCAGCAGTCTGTGCACGCTTTGGTGGGCATCTCTGTCTGCACGAAAACCACTCAGCGGGGCATGCCGTGGGGTCTTTCTGCACAGGGCTTTGTGGGCTGTCTCTTCGCTGTCTTGCGTGTCTATGGCAAGCCGTCTCCGACACCTTGGCACTGCAGCCGAACCGGACTTTGGATTTCCTTCCGGCCGTGCCGGACTTTGGATGTCCTTCCAGCCGTGCTGGCGGGCTCTGAAGACCGTCCGGTCATCGCGGGTTGTGGGGTCGCAAGCGTTTCAGGTTCTTCAGGCTGAGCTCGAGGATGGGTGGATCGTCGAGAGCGGCGACGACGAGAAGCGCAGGTACAACGTCGCGGCCGTCGGCAGAGTGTTGGCAGATGTTTTCCGTCCTTCTCCCTGACCGTCTGCCGCGGTCGTTGACTCGTCCGTCTCTGTGCATCCAACGCACACCTTCCGAATCGCTCTTCCAATCCGTCCCTCATGGAACTGCTGGCCCTGTCACACTGTTTTCCGGTCCGGTGGCTTCTTGGGAGGGGGCCTTGGCATGGCCAAGGGGTTTTGTCCCGTGTGCTCCGCTTTCTTTGCGCTTCCGTCCATATGGACCATGTTCCGGGCATCTCCAATAATGTCGCTGATGCCCTCAGCCAGGGGTCCAACCCATCCGACTCGGGGTCTCCTCCGCCGAACAGTTTGTTGTTATTGGCCTTCGCCTTCGGGACAGCCGGTCAGTCATGCGGCCCCTATTCCCATCGCAGATGCTGTCCAGGGCTACTTGGCCTCTTGATTCTGCTCGTGGCCGTTGCTTGACTCCTTTTGGGCGGTTCCCCTGTTCGGGTCAGGCGTGTGCGATGCGGCTCGATCATCTGAGAGTCTTTGGTCCGATCGCCACAAATGAACCAGGTCCCCGACCGGTTCCATTGCCCTACCCAGTTCATCCCAGTTCTATTTCACGGATTCCGGACTTCTACGCAACGGTCTAAAACAAGACTGCCCGCCTACTCGAAGCTTCTTCCGTTTGCGGGTGTTTTCGGCTTACGGTAACGGACTTGTAGACCGAACGGTATCGAGTTTAATTGGATGTGTTTGGCTTTAGGATGCAACGGCAACCGACCACCTGCAGCCATTGGCTCGCAGAGGTCGGTTGCATTTCGACTTTCCCGCCGCCTTCCCCTTGCTCCACCCTCTGACGTTGTGTCGTGGTTTCGTCCGTCCGACGTCCGGCACTGGACTTGTGGCCTTTGGTCTTTGACTAGTTTCGAGGTCCGTTGTCCGTCTTCAACCTACTGCTACCAGTAGTTCAGTTCCACATGTTTGCTCTCTGTGGCCGGTCCGACCGCCACAAATGAAAACGGGCAGCAAGTTCCACTGCCCTACCGAGTTCTGTTTGACGGACTCCGGATTTCTACGCGACGGTGTAAAGCCAGACTGCCCGCCTGAACGAAGTTTCTTCCGTTTGCGGGTGTCTTACGTTTACTAAATAACTAAATAGGGCAACGGCCTAGTCCGACCGAATCAGCAAGTAGGAACCGCGGAATTGACGAAAACATGCGTGGACGGAAGGAATGGACAGCACGCTTTTTTTTATGCAAACTTGGATGTGTTGATGGCTGACGCACCGACGAGTCTTGCCCAATGCTTTCTATTGTTGTGCAGGTTTGGTCAATCGAGGAATTTCGCAAGGCTCAGGACGAAATCTCGGATTTGTTGATGGAAAATAGTAATGATAATCTGGCACATACTCTGGCAGGAGGCCGCGTCGCCTTCCCACCATTCGCAGAAATCTTACCAGCCCTTAGTGGCTATGACGGCGGGTGTCTGAGACTCTCTGCTGCTTGGGCAGTTGCGAAGCGTAGTCGCGTTTTGCAACACGCATGTGAGGCCTCACAGGGGTCGCTCTACCCCGGAACAGGGTGGAAGTTGGCTAAAGTTGGAAGGGGCACACATGCATGTTCTCATACGATTCCTCGGCCAGGTCCGTCAATGTTCCTCAACCCATCAGCATCATCAACGCGTCGTCGCCCAGGAGGTGCGTGGAGGATTCATCCTGCCACCATGCAGCCTGCTGATAGACAGGTCGCCGTCTTTGCCTCAACCTGTTTCGCCTCATTCTCTGTCGGGTTCTATCGTTCCGAGCATGTCAGGCCTGCTCTGGTGAATTCGTGTGACCTGACCCCGAGCCACATCATGGTATTGCATGTCCAGGAGCACTGGTGCCAAACACAGTGAGGACCCAGGGCATGGCAAGCAGCTTTAACAGTGTCCATGCCGTGTTGCAGATTCTTCTTGATCGATTTGTTTGCCCTTATTTGACAGAGTTTGTTTGTTCCCGTATGTACCCATCCATCTAGCTGTCTAGTCAAGTCTATCTATCTATTATCTATGTATTCATGGTGCGGCCTCTCTGATCTAGCTTGCATTGTGCTTTCGTACTTCTGATGTGCCACGTAACAGCTGCAGGAGTTCAAACCTCGCAAAGGCAGCACCAACTGTAGTATCCCAGACAGTTCCGTGCGGAGCTCGGTGACGTAGACGCTCAGCCACTCGCGGTTCTCATTGCAAGAGCGCACGCCTGAGTGCATCAGAGCTGCCCGCAGCACCAATTTACGATTACTCGACGTGGTTGCTTGGTGACGAGGATGATAAAGAAGAGGAAGATGAGGAGGAAGAGGAGGAGGAGCAGGAGGAGGAGGAGGAGGAAGGCAAGATGAGCTTGCAATGGTCATGATGATGAGGATGCAGAGGAGGTGACGGGCAAGTCATGCTTTGGCAACAAAGATAGGCAGTCCATGGTCTCGAGCAGTGCGGTGCTGTCACCGACCTGATCTGCTTGTGGGATTCGCTGCTGTGACTCGCCTGTGACCTTGGTTGTTGAGGTATATTACAATGCGATGAACCAGTGAGCTGTGGAAGCTGTTTCACTTCAAACATAAAGATTCGATGACATGAGACTTTGTTTGTGAGAACGACAAGTACACACCAAGCGCCCTTATACCCGGTTTCAGGCCCGCGTAATTTTGGCATGTGTTGGGGGAGACTTGCTGTGCTGAAAGCGATGAATGGGGAAGCGGCTCTGTCTCCCTCAACACGTGTCCCTGTGCACGTGAGTTGGAGCCGCTTGCCACAGAGATTTGTGCGCTGGCTAAAGGAGTTGGGGTTTAGGGGAGTGGAAGGAGCCGAGACCAGCTGGACAGACTTGTTGGACACGTGTGCAACATGTCTATTCGTGCCGCGGCTTCAGCGGGTCATCGTCAAGGCTGACGCCATGGCCTCGCAAGCGAAGTTCTCGTTCCTGAATTCTCATGGAGGTCAGGGATCTAGCACATTTGCCATTTTCCACATTTGATATTTGAGGGGTTTGTCGGGAAGGCCGACCGAGCTGGGTCCTAGCTGGATCTTGAGATTTTCTGTTCTCGGTGCTCGGTGGCCTGCGGGCGCACTTAGCCTCCGGCATGGCAGGCCCAGGCAGCCGACAACTACATGGCTTCACAGGCAGGCGCCCCAAAAAAGGGCTTCAGGATGCCTAGTGCGTTGTGCGTAAGCGTTTGGCCTGTGGGCTTCTGAGGCCGTGTGTGTGAGAGATGGGCAGTCAGCAACTGGTAGAGCCAGGCCTTGACCAGTCAGCTCCCGCTCGAGCAGTGGACTCAGAGGGGCCCTATGCGTGCCTTCTTGGGGGGGGCGATCGCGGTCGCTTCCGAGTCGGCCTCGCTGCCGACGATGAACGTCTCTGCAGGGTCCGGAAACCGAGAGAGGCCCCCCTTTGGAGCGAAGCCGAGTGGATGTGTCTCCGGAGGTTTTCGATGAAGCTCGGCAACCACCTCGGCTTCAATGCCCGCCGGCCCAGCTAGGTTTTTGTTAGAAGTGCTGTCTATAGCGGAAGACAGAGGGGAGGCGGTGTCGCTTCTGATGGCTTACACATGCACGGTGCACGGCTTTCTTTGCCTCAGCCCCTCAGGCCTATGCCAATCTACGCGGACCCTTCGTGGCCCGTGCGAGTGCCCAGGGATGCCCAGTCAGTCTCGCTCTGCCTTTGAAGTGCCTGGAGTTGGGAGAGACTTTCGTCTGTGTCTAGGCCGCGACATTCCGATACTGCCTAAGAACCCGCGGGCCACAGAGAGGGAGATCTACAAAGCACGCGTGGAGGCACCTCTAACGTAGTTTAAGCATGCTCGCGAGGGCCTCTTGCATGTGTTTTTCCGTGCAGGAAGTCTGGGTGATGCCTGAACGACTTCGCCCAGAGACCTTGCCACCAGCAGGGCAACAGAAGGCAGGGCTGCGGCAAGCGAGCATTTTGAATCGAGATGCGGTGAGCATGGTGAGCCTGCTACTGTACACGTTTTGCGGCTGGCGGCCAAGGAGCGGCGCATGGGCAAGCGGATGGTTTCCGAAAACACGAACACCCTCAGCCCTGCGCCAAGTGAGGGCTGACTTTCGAACAAGTTTTCCGAAGCATGGTCTCCCGGGCTCAGCTTGCAACGCGCTCCTTAGTATGTAGGTCCGTGATCGAAACACATTTGGGGCCTTTCCTCTTTCATTGGCACTGCAAGCTCCCCATTTTCCTACCGAGCCCTCCAAACCATCTAAGGCCATGTGGATACCTTGATTTGGGGCTCAGACATTGACAAGCCTGCAGCTCAGCCTTCTGCACATGTTCCGGAGGCCTTAGCTGGGGCCGGTACTGTGAGGAGTGACGGACTTCTCAAGCAATGCGACTCCGAGATTTACCGGGGTGCTGCCGGCCTGAATGCAAAGGCTCGTTTCAAGCCCGGCCCGGGCTGAAACCTCTCGCCTCGGCAGACGCAGGCAGAGCGCACTCCGATCTACGGCTACATCCCTCCCGTCTGTTACCGAACCTTCGGCCCCGTCGGCGGCTTTGTGGCAGTGCTGTGTCTCGGAGTGCGTGGGCTCTGAAGTATCCGCAGGAAGGGCCCGTTCGTTTCCAGTGAGCGGTTTATTCCGCAGGGGTTAGATCCGATGATAGAGTGTGCGAGAATCAGGTACCATAATTAACAACAATTATGCCCATGATTTGTTTCTCAGTGCCTGCCTGCCTTTAATCCATGCCACGGTTAGCAATTAGCCAAGTCTCAGCTCAGCAATTGCCGAGGATGAGAGGGAGATTCCCCCCGAATGGGGGCGAAGCATAATTTGGTCCTGCAGCCAGAACAGACGCGTTTTCGATGATTTTGGATTGCCTCTAGTTGTCGCTTGTATTTTGCATCGTCAGGCCTGTGGTGATGTTGTTGTTGCCTCTGGGCTCAAGAGAATACCACCTAACGCCTCTTTGCTGGTTCGCTTCGCCGTGACCTTTTTGAAGCGGGTCCTCGTGTTGGCTCGGACCCTCAGCAGCTCCAGGTTCCTGCTTCCTCTCTCTGTCGCCTCGAGCTCCCGAGTCTCGAGGCACCATCTCGCCCTTTGACGCCGTGCCCGCGCTGGTCGAGCGCCCCAGGCGCTGTTGGCCCTCCTGCGGTCGCCGCAAGGCACCCGACTGCGAGCGGAACGATGCGGCTTGTCGAGTCACTGAAAAGCCCGGCTCGATGAATTCGGAGGCTTCGCCAGAGATGGGCACCCCAGAATGGGGCGCTGATGTCGGAGCCACAGAGAAAGGCCGCAACAATCGAGGCCCCCGCCAAGCCTGCCAAAACTACCCCCTAAGTATGCTGTTCCGTCGCCGACAGCTGCTTAGTCTGAACGTCGGGACTTGGGGTTAGGGCCCTTTGGAGAGGGCCGTTTGATGAGAGGACAGGCTTGTTCCAAGGCCGGTGGCGGTCCGCCATCTCCAGAGGGCTCGAAGCTTGGCCGAGGCCACAGGCGACAGGCGGCTCAGTGCTTCCGCTGTGACTCCGCTGTATTCACTCAAACTCTCTCGTTTCGCATCTCCGGGAAAGGTCGTGGGGGCAACAGTCCACCACAGCGAGCAGTGGCCTCGGCTGCTCCAAGTTCGCGAGCCGGAGTGAGAGGTTTCAACGCTGTTGCCGAGGCTTTGATGACCAGCCCGCGAGGTATGAGAGGCACTGCGGGGCAAGGGGCAAGTGCTGGGCAAGTGCAGTACCTGGCTTTGGGTCCCTCGGTGACCAGGCCGAGGAGGCCCTGGGCGGCGCACATCAGAAACAAATGACTTGCTGGAAGAGGCCGGGACGGCAGTGTCGCGGGCTGCAGTGTCGCTTGATGCTGGCAGGTTCCAGAGATGGAGCAGTACAGCAAAGAGAACTTACCTCCGGATCGCAACTCAGAGCTTTACGTTGGGTGCAGCTTTCGTCAGGCGGTAGAATGAAATTACATCAGGCTTCAGAGCATGAGATTGAGTTCATAGTGCCGCATGCCGCCTCTTTTCCGAGTGGTGAAGCGGTAGCCTCAGCGGGCCCGACAAAAGCTCGACTTGGAAGCTGCCAATCTACACTCGAAAATGCTCCCCGGTCCGCAGAAAGTGCGATCGCCACCGCTGATGGTGCGAAATTTCAGATTTAGGCTGGTCGCCATTTCTGATATCGCAAGCGCAGAGGTTGCGTGTGTGAGTGTGTGTTATATCTCGAAACCTTGCAGGATACTGTGCTTTCCATCGGGAACGTCGAGTGCTGGTGGAACTGCGGCCAGCTCCTTACATTCGGCATTTCCTGTCAATGCTGTCAACCGTCTGACGGAGTTTCGAGGTCAGTGCATTCGTGGAGGCCGATCCTCCGGAAGGCGCAGACTTCGACAACGATGGCCTTTGCGCTGCTCCGCTGTCCTCGAAAAGCAGCTGAAAGACACCAGGTCTTGATCCGCGGTGGATCTTCCAAGGTGTCAAATACCAGGCTCGGAGCATACCAAAGCCACATCGGCTCCACATGAGATTTCTGCAGGTCGCACTCGTGAACTGGCTTGACTATCGCAGAACTATAGTCAAGGCACTGGCCCACCCTTCTCTGAGTATTCCTGTCTTGCGCCCTGTTGCAGAGCGACACGTGGAGTTTCTCCAAGGCAGGCACGTTGTCAGAGAGTCAATATGGATTCGATCTGTCTTCCAATCAGGATGGAATTGATAGAGGTTGGCACGACATGGTGAGGACTGGGAGTTGGGAGTAGGGCTGTCGAAGCTCCGAGCCTGATCCTGGCGCATCCGAAATGACGCAGCGGGGGCCGCGGGGCTTCGGCGACGGCACGGGGCTTTGCCGATGACATGGGTCGTCGACATGGAAGACTTGCGGTGCTGAGACAGTGGCAGTGCGATTGTTCAGTTTGGTGCAGAAAACATGGCCTCTCGCCCCGTTCTGCATTGCGGCTTGCAGGACGTCTGAGTTGTCTCAGGACACCGGCTGGTTAGGCTGGAGCTGAAGCCTGATTGTCCTAGGCACTTGTAGAACAGCACAACGTGGATCATGTCCGGCACAAACCTGGTGTTTCATGCAAAATGCTGATGCCAGGCCCACGTGACAGCCTTTGCTTCCGAGCATGTGTTTGTGTTCGACAGGCGAGATGTGTTCGCGAAGTAGGAGACGTGGTGAGTATGGCCAGCTTATTGCTTCTTGGATCTCTTGCAGGCTGACAGTGTCCAAGCTGGTCAAGACTTCAACTGTAGGCGGGAAGAGTTTCGAAATATCGAATCGGAATTAGCTGTGCGATGCTGGCTACATGCGTCAAAAGCCGCGGAAGACGTCAGGAAAGAAACCGGATATGTCGGCCTGATGAACCACGGCGCAACGTTTGCCTTGCAAGTTTAGAGCCAGAGAAGGGAAGCTCGTAGTGCATTCCGGCCAGGTGCTACATGAACGGTTTGCTGCAAAGCCTCTTCCATGCCGGAGAGTTCAGGCATCGACTTCCTTCTGTGTTTTTTCAACCGACCCCTGGATGCGGGCTCAGGCGAATCGTTTACTCCATTGAATGCGAGAAGGAGGAGAAGGCCTCAGAGCATTCGGAGGCATTCTTCGATTCTTTTGCTTCGGTGTTCTGCTGCTTAAGGAAGATGCGCCGATGGAGAAAGCAGGCGACACCGATGCAGAAGGCTTGACTGCTAGCCTGAACATGATGTCGACCGTTTTCAGCTTACTAGTCTTATCTATTGCAATGGCTCAGGAGATGTCTCCCTGATCCAGGCTGGGCAGTATAAGTGCATGCTGGAGGTTTGAAGGTTGAACCAATCAATATCTAGACTCGTCCAGGCCTTGCAGAATGTCTTCTACAGACTGCAGACCTCCGAGCAGGCACACACATGTTGAGCAATACCGAGGTTGAGTAGCTGCAAGGATCTGCAAAATTAGATCGGTTCTGTATTAGAAACAGCTCTTCCTTGTTCGTGGTGCCTGCGAGGCTGTCAACTGCAAGGAGTTGATGAAGTCTTTCGGCTGGGACACCACCGATGCATTCACCCAGCACGATGCGCAGGCCGCTGGTTGTGCGGAAGGGTAAGAAAATGAAAGAGACCTTCCTGAGAATGAATAAAGGCGCAAAGGAGTGTGAGAACAGTGTGGCCAGGAGCTGAACAGGATCTTGTGCGATCGACTGGAGGCCGCATCCGACAGCACCCGTGAATTCGCATCTGGGAGCACTTTCCCGGAGTTCGTGGTGCAGGAGCAGATGAAAGGTACTCCAATGGATGGTTCCATCAAGAGGCTCGTGCTAAAATCGTCAGTCCTCTTTCTGCCTACCCTCCTGCTGAGTCTGCTCATATTTGAGTCGAGAGGCTCTTCGAAGGCGAGATGGAAAATTACATCGAGTGCCTAGATGTGGCTAGGTTGCATCGAGAGATCAGCAGGTTTTGAGGTGCAGGAGGCGAATAAGTCCTGTGGTATTGAGGTTTTTCAGGACTTCCACAGGAGCAGTGGGCACTTGGTGTTTGGGTTTTAGGGGCGGTTTAGGAGGTATGTGATGAAGATGAAGCTCCACCGATATGTCGTGGTGATACCTGGGTAAGGATGCAATGTAGCATAATGTAAGCAGGGCTTGATCCCTAGTGCATTTATCGGGTTAAACGCCCGATTTCATTTGGGATTTGGTGGAATCAGCTTCAGAGGGACAGTGCAGGTGTGCTTGGAGCTGTGTTTAGGCTCAGGTTTTGAGGCTCTGGTGGGAGGGTGTGGGAGGCTTCAGATTTCGGGGCTTACGAGCTTGAGGCTTTAAGGGATTAGGGTTGAGAGCTTGCACGGGTTTTGGTTTTGCACCTTCTCGTCCTCAAACTCTAGATTTTGTTGGGGTGTGAGGGTCACGGTCCGGGCTTTGGCGTTCAGAGCTTCTGCCTTTAGGTGTAGCGCATTGGGCTGTGCGTTGGGATCAGGAATCCGTGCTTGCAGTAAAGATCCGGTGCTTGGTGTTTGCTTAGATCCGGTGCTCCCATGAAACCTTGTGGTGCCGGGCAAAAGGGTTAGGATCCTTTGCGGTTCGCATGTCGACCCAGGTCGACTACACCTCCAAACGCCGCGAAACGCCGGGAGTCTCGGTCGCTTCTGGCCCTCGCTGGCGAGTGAACAAGACTAAGGTTTTATGACATTCAGCTGAACATCAAGAGCGAGAAGGGGAATGACCTCCAGACCATAGAGGATCAGTTTGCTAGATCAGGCCAGTGGCAAGGCTGGTCGCTTCTCCTGTTGGTTATCCAGGAGTCCATGAAAGAGTTCACTGCGGATGAGATGCTTGACGGTGACAACCTTTACGAGGCTGCTGGGATTGAAGCCGCAGTCGACAGTGGATGCATGGTGTCATAATTTGTCATGGCACAGAGAGACCTCCTAGGCTGAAGGCTACGGAAAGCAGCGTGCAAAGAAGGTGCAGCCTGCGCAAGATGCGGCAAGCTTACGGGGCCGTGTTCAGCCCGTCACTGCTCAGGGCATCCGGTTCGTGCAGTTCCCTCCGGTCCTGAACCTGCAGCTGAAGCGCTTCCACTTTGACATGGAACGCATGGACATGGTGGGCAGCAGCACCTCGTGCAGTCCAGCTCTGTCATCCTGGTGCCGTCAGGTAAAACTCAACAGCCGCTTTGAGTTCCCACGACGCCTCGATCTCTCCCAGTTTGCACCTGGCGCCGGGTCTGGAGCTTACCAAAGATGTTGGTGTTCCTGCCGCAAGAGCTATGACTCTGAGGCATTATCTGCTACACTCCGTCGTTGTCCACAGTGGTGATGTCAACAGCCGATGTCTGAGACGCTCCAAAAGAAATGACTCAGTAGGACTCGCCGAAGCCTCGACGCAGGCGGTCACTACTACGCCTACATCCGGCCAGCGACCGAGGTCAAAAAAGCGCTCTCGGCTCCCTCCAAAAGTGTTTTCATGCAGTCCGCTGCAACGCAAGATGCAAGGCCAAACTTGGACGAGCGATGGGTGAAGTTTGATGACGACAATGCAGCTTGACGAGAGATGTCCGGCAGCCCACCAAGTCAGGAACCTTTTGAACTTCAGGTTACGCCCTGCAGCGATTTTGCGGCGGTCGAAGACAACTTTGGGGGCATCTCAGCTCAATCTGGGTGACGACCATGACCATGCTGACCATTAGCGGCTTACATTCATGCTGCGACATGGTGGTTGTTCGTGCCAGGAAGCGACCCCAATGCCTTCAACTATTTCGATCGTAGCCCATCTGAGCTCAAGAGTGTGCAAACCTCAGCTGTTCAGTGATTCCTGGCTGGCTCTCGTTGAGCACTCCAGCCTGGCATACAGCCCTGTTTGCAGATGCAATGGCCGAGCCGTCCCCGGATCCACAACGCGTGCTCCACGTTAGTCTGTGTGCACCGTACAGTCCGTGGTGGTGCTGCAGGCACAGAGTTTTGGTATCTCCTTCGCAGGTACATCCTTGTCTACATCCGCGAGGACTGTGCGGAGGATGTCTTGCGCATCCCTGATCCGATGCAGGCGCTCGTTCTGCAGCTCACGATACAATGGCCACCGTGGCATAAATCCGATGTCTCACAGGTGAACAGCCGGATGGTGGAGAGGTGTAATGCCGAGGCGCCTTGTCCTGGCTTGTGCGGAACGGATTTGGGATGCAGCCAAAATATGCAGCGGCATTTCCCCGTGTGAACCGCTAGGACAGACAATGCAGGAACAATGGGCTACTGTTAGTTGGTACCATTTGTCGACTGTTCGAGTCAAAAAGTTCCAGACGAGACAGCGAATGGCAAGGAATGAAGCAAGAACATGGAGCCAGGCGTTCGATCATATTTAGTGGCACTGACGCAGCGCAGAGCTGACAACAGTCTAAGGCGAATGGTCAGAAGTGGTCTTTTGTAAACCTGCCCACGGTGCACACCGGCTTGGGAGAGGTACGATTGCAAGAGCAGCGACGGCGTGAGAAGCTGGAGCTGCAGACAAAGATCAGGAGCGGGCATGTTTGCGACTCTCTCACGGTAAGCTACATGACGCTGCCTTAATCTCAGGCGATCTGTTCTGTTTCAGGTGGGTTTGCTTGCAAAGCGTGGTTCAGGTCGTGCTCAATCGGAACTCTACAAGCATGGAGTTGCAGCACCTTTAATCACCACCGAAGTATGTTGGGAACAGCATTTGCCTCTGTGAGACCACCACTAGCTGCTAGCTGCTAGGCCGTCAGAAATCGGCATTGCTGGAAGTGGCCTACTGCTGGTTGGTAGCTACAGACGCCGAAGTTCAAACCTGCAAGTGCACCTTTCAGGATAAACCTGATCTTCGAGAATGATTTGTCGAGACCTCAGACAGATTCTCCGTTCGGGTGCTGGTGGCATCATGTGGCGTCAGGTGTTCAATGACCGGCTTCTGGGACCACACCAGCATTCCAACGGGGTCGGGGCCCCTCGGGGTTTTTGGGGGCCTTCGGTGTGCCCCTCTTTGCCCGATTCGTCGAAAGGCAGTCCTTCAAGATGAACCGGGATCAGTTCGTTAAGGAGACGAGTCGGAGACGAGCTGAAGCCAAGCTGTGGCGCTGTGGAGACCGCATGTGACCGGACAGGACCTGCTCTCGCACGCAGAAGAGATTCTGCAGGCCGCAGCAGAAGCCTTCTTGTCTCAGATTTGGTTGGACTGATACCGGTGTTGCCGAAGGTGAATGCGAATCACCTGGCTTTGTTTGCTCTTCACCTCCGATCGAACCCGCGACAGGCTGCGTGGCGGAGACGTGATATCTGTGATGTGCACCGCCCTGCAGGTGAGGTTCGAGTTCATGCCGCATTTCAAGACCCTCAGGAACGGGTTCACGTAAGAAGTCTTCGCAAAGCAAGCAAACAAAGCTTAAGCTTCTTCCGGCGGCGTCCAGGACGCAGATACCGCCCGTCACATCACCTCACTACGAGCCTTTCAAAGCAAGAAGCCTGCTGTTCGTCCTATGGTCGCTGTCGAGTCCAAAGCTGGTTCGCGATGCTTGAGGGAGGCAGTTTTGGAAACGCTTGGAGCTGAGGACTCGCAAGATCCTTGCATCACCGTTCTTTGTGCACGATGCTTGGAAAGCCAATCTGCGCAGCGTATGCCAATGTATGCATTTTGCCATCGGTATCTGGTCAGGTGGCTGCAAGAGGCCACAATGTTGGTCCACCTCCGCTAAGGTTGGATGCACAGCTAGGTGCTTCCTAGTATGTTCACGCATACCGTGGCGAAACTTTCGTTTCCTGATAAAGCATGCAACAGCTTGAAGGCTAGAGACATCGTGCATGTAGTGCAGAAATGCGTAGCGTACTGGCAGGTGGCAAAATGAGTCTGCCGAGCCTGAAGAGTTGGTAAGGCACACCCCGTCCCAGAGCCACAAGTGGACCATCTCATGGTCGAGTCATGATTGATCTAAGTTTGTAACGGCAGGTGGGACGATCAACAAGTGATTATGCGAGGGCCACATTCAGAAGCATATGGAGCGAGTGCAGTACAGCGAGGTGTGACTGAAAAGATTCAACATTGAGGCTTGTGGTGAAGTATTTTTGCATCCAAAGACGAAAGCTTGTCACTTTGGGCTGCCGCTTGGCATGGCTATCCATAGCGTACTGACAAGGCACAGTGCCAAGTCCCAGCCAAGCAAGGCTTCTACATGCCGCTGAACGACCCTCTGATCAGCATGGCACCGGAACCTACTAGGGTCTTGGGATCCCAGGGCTGCAGAATCTGATTGCAGACCGCGGCCAAGGTCAAGAGCAACTGGGTGACTGAGAGGTTACAGCGTTTTTTGGACAGTCAGGAGGCATTGATTGGTGGTGGGACACAGGAAGCATCAAAGGGTTCAGCTCGGCACAGCATCTGCAGGTGGCGCCACTTCCACCCCAATTGCAATCGGCTGGAGAGGCCACTGCACAGAGGCTTTCTGGAGCTTTGGGCTTGGGCGGCCTGCAAGGATGGCACGAAGCTTGAAACAGCATGGGAATGCTGGGAAGAGTACACAGAGCAGCAACCCCAGCTTTAAAAGCACCCTTGAGACTTCAGACTTCAGGCTCAAGCGTCCTGAGGCGTGACATACAAAGAAGAAGTGCCAAAAAGTCGGCTAAGATGGAGCGGTTCATGCTGCAGACTCAGTACGTATCAGAGCTTCTGAACATGTTGCATTGCATTGCACCCAAAATCACGAGGTGCGGTGACATCATCGTCTGGCAGCAATCTTCGCCCTCTGCACCGCCGGAGGTGGCCGGTGAGGCCCCACAAGGGTACAGTTCAGCGGAGCGAGCGTCCACATATGCTGCGGCCTCCGACGTCCCTCTCTCCTCATCTCAGGTGGGCTCCCCTCCACAGACAGGTCACAACGTTCAATCATGGGTTACTGCGTGCAAACTAAAGAAACGGTGACAACATAAGCTTTAGGATAGAGCTGGAAAGAATGTTTCGGCGGTCGCTTGAAATGCGCTCTGGACGCATGAAAGAACTGCAAATCCCACAAGCGACTCTTCGTCTTGACGTGCATGCCCGACATCGAGGTAAAAGATAAGCCGATACCTCACATCCGTGACGACTGCTCTCATGCACGTCCGCAGGTTCCCTTGCGCCTGGCTGAATTGATCAGCTTGAGCGAATTTCCTCACGTTCTCGGCCCCCATTGGCTTTAATTTCTTCATGTTCCGGCTCCCATGGGCGTGATTTTCGACATTTTATCAAAGTCCGCCTCCTTAGTGAGACATGAGCGTACTTGCAACGTGGTTGATTGAGTGTCGTGTTTGTTCATGACGGGTGCGATTTCAGCAAATCTTCGATAATACCACCTTCCACAACCCTCAAATTGTGTGACTAGACTCGGCCAGTGTGTCAGGTTGCACTTACTGACCACACTTCAACAGGACATAAAAACCAGTATCATGGTGGGCTGGCTGAGCTTTGCTCCCTCAACTATTCAAGTACAATGAAGATTTCGACATGTTGTTTGGAACAGTCTGGAACACAATGCTGCATGTACTGGGCTACCAATCGTTGAAAGTTGTGTGCGGGCGCTGAACAAGGTGGCTGCGACCAAATGCACAGCATTTGCGTGCGTTTTTAAGTCTTTGGCCTGACTCTGGCTTTTTATTGTCATCTTATCACGTGGAGCGCTCCCTCTCGCTCAAGCGCATGAGGTTGCATTCATCCACACCGTCCCACATGTGCGTGCTTTCACCCGTAGCCGTAGACGCAGAGGAAGAGAGACAAGCACCGTCTGCGTGTCATGATTGCGCTGTGAGTTGGCGACCTGCAGGAAAGTCCAATGCAGCCAGGGCAGGTGAGAGCCGCTGCCTTGCAAAGCTGATACCAGTACGACGGATTTGAGTCACAGGTGGCGCCCACGTACCCGGTCAACAACGTCTTTGATTTGCTTGCAGTTTGGCCGATGTTGAGCAATTTTCTGTGCATGTGTATTGCAGTTTGCCATCAAGCCTCCTCCACCTTATAATCGTGATATTGAGTGTGGCAGGAACACCAGCTGAATTCCATTGAAGTGCAAGTGACGCTGGTTGATCGCAAGCAGGCTGCTACGTACATTTTTCCCACGCACTTCCATGTGGCAGGTTTTGATAGTTTGCGTTTTATTTGCATTCTTGTGCTCTTTCAGCCTCTTTGCATCGATGGCGTCGTCATGAACGGTCATTGGGGGGCATACCGGCCCAGAGCTTGGCGGTCGACGAAAAGCTTGTTCTCAAAGTTCGTGCTGTAGCAAGGCCTGCAACAGCGCAGGTGGCTGCAAAGAAGATTCACGTTGAACCTTACTATACATGACGCATCATCTCTGCATTGCCAGGTTCAGGAGGGAGTCCGGGAGGAGAAGCCAGAGGCTTGAAGCTGGTACACCGGATGGTACAGGCGAGTACTGCATGTTGGGCAGGACATCGCTCTTTCCAAAAGTCCAGCGAGCTTCTCGACTGCCGTGACCAAGGAGATTCTGAGCTGCAGCCTTCTGCAGCTTTTCGGTTTCAAACTGCGCTGCGCAGGAGCTCCAAATGGATCTGCGGTGGACCCAAAGCCACGTAACAGGCCTGACAGCGGTTTGTGCTGTTTCCTGCAGATGTTGTGGATGTGATCATCTTGACAGGAATCATTGCACAAGCCTTTGACCTGAAGTCAGTCATGCCGGGGGCCCCGGCATCCAACACGAATTGGAGCCTTGTGGCGTTGTTCGAATGTCTACAGGACGCCAGCGTCGACTTCTTCCCCGGACCATGAGACCTACTTGTGGTCTGGTCCCTGGATCTTCGAGTGACGGCTAAACGCTGGAGATCCTCCCTGCCCGCAGGCTTTTCCAGTCCCCGCCATCGAATGGAGAGGACTGAGGGAGGGAGGGAGGGAGGGAGGGAGGGATGTGCCGCTGTGAAAATTGTCACGCGTTAGTGCGTGGCCGCGACAGAGAACCCTCCTGTGGAGAAGCGAGAAGTTTTACAAGCAGCCAAAGATCACGACCGACCGATTCACAGGTCCTTGCGCCATGGTCCTGCAACCCTTGTATTTATGATGGAAATTCATGGCAGAAGGAAGCAGAGGCACCCAGCAGAAGAGATGGAGCAAGTGGGCGGCAGAACCTGGAGTATACACCCACACTGTGTGTTCCGGGAACGCTGTCGCATTTCAGCAGCGAAAGACAAGCACAGCCAGCAGCATGTCAATCGCAATCACATAGTGCCATGTCGTCTCTGAGTCCTGTGCAAGGAGCCGATCAGCACGAGCATACACGCTCGATCCACGCTGAAGGCCAACAAAATGCTGGGTGTGTCTCTATGCGTGTTCATCCACTTACATCGCGAAGGACATTCAGCGGTATGCTCCATATGTGTCACCAGCAGGAGGCACTGTGTTCGTGCAGGAGATAGTGCACTAAGCGGCACAGCAAAGCCGATGCAAATCAGGCTTCAGACATCCCGGCTGTCGTTTCACCGCCAGGCAAGAAACCGCTGAACCTCCATGCGGTCGAGATGCCGTATCACGCAGGCAACTTGACCTTTGAACCCGATGTTGCGGATAGACTGTCGCGACACAGTGCATGTCTTGCAAAGCCCATGCTAGTAGCCACTGCTGACAGGAGCTGACGGTTTAGATTCCAACTTGTGGGCCTTCGGCGTGCGCTTTTTCGACTCGGCGGTCCGAGAGGTGCGAAAGATCGCAGCATCTGCTGAGTTTTTCTGAATCTCTTACTGTCCGAATCACAGGTTGGGAGCGCAATTTGTTATGTGAACCCTGGCAGTGGCACAGTGGAGGTGCTTCGTCGGCATGTGCAAACTAGCAGCGTTATGACAGAGAAATCACCTGAGGACTTGCTCAGAGCAGCCGAGCCCCTTATCGAGCCTGTCGGAGCCTTTCTTGTACGTCTTTCCGTCAGCTCTTCACCGCGACTCGGGCGGCTGAGGAGTGGAAGATTTCGGGTCCGCTACGTGCAATGGAGGTCATCGACGGCATGGCAACACTCTGGAGGAGCGGAGCCTGGCGGAGCTTACGAGCTGTTTCTTGCGGACTCGCCCTGTTGAGGCCCACAGAGCCTCTGCGCAGTCTTCATTGCTATGGCAAGTACAACGTGCTTTACCACGCAGTGCGCATCGAGGCAGCCCTGCTTGGGACGCGGCGGGCTTGGCCATTGCACAGCTTTCGCAAACCAGGCAGATCCTGACACGGCCACGATGTCGCCGGACTGCTTCCGCGATGTGTGTCAAATGATATCTCAATCTCCAGCGGCTTAGAGATGTCGAGCTCTTGCAGGATGACAGACTCATTGAGGTGTACCACTGTGACCGCTCAAGCCAGCAGGCAAGAGACATCAGACTTCGTCCAGAGAAGCCCAGCATGTGAACAATTTGAGATGCTGCTTCGACTTCTCTTGCAGCACCTGCCAAAGACCCTTACCCTTGCCTTGTCGCGCGAGCCCCCGTCGCAAGCTGGATTTTGAAAACCGAAGCAGTTGAGCAGCTTGGAGACGGGACCTTACAGCGCCCTATGCACTTGCTAGCAAAACGATTCTTGCACAACTCAGACTTACAACTTTGAATGTTCTTTCCCAGCGGCACGAGACGCCCAAGAAGGAGACATGTTATGAGTTACGGGAAATTTCGCTGGACTTACGGCTTTCACCCTTTTCGGACCCTCCAAAGCTCCAGCTGTGTCTCCCTCTCCCTCTCCCTCTCTCTCTCTCTCTCTCTCTCTCTCTCTCTCTCTCTCTCTTTGCTACGGAGACGCTGTTCATGGATCATTACCCCCATGTGCCACCGTTGCCGTCTGTTGAGAGGCTTTTGGTCAACCTCTGTTTCTTCCGGCCGTTGTCACCTCAGTCATGGTGTGACCTGTTTTTGTTTGGTGGTGCGTCACCATCACATGTTGTGGGGTTTCGTGATATCTGCTCAGGCGCCTGGCGAGAAAGCTGGCACCTTCAAGAATCGATGTAAGGAAGCAAGGGGGGTGGTGCTGCACGGTTCAGGGCATTCGTACCGGGGCGCATGCTGAAAAGCCACAATTCCGCAAGAAAGGAGCGACTTGGAGTGCCAGAGAACGAGTTCAAGACCTGGAGGCATGCTGGCTGCAAGTGCTTCAGCCCCAGTCCAGATCCGTTTGTCGTTAAGGTTGGTCCGGACTGGGCAGAGGCTGGACGCATTGAGAGCGGGTGCTCTTTGGCAAATCTCCTATCTTACGAACAGGGCGGGGCGGCAGCATCTGAAAGATGACGACCCGCTGGATTCAGAGTCCGGCCTGGACAACAGGCAGACATCGCGTTGTGTACTGTCGTCTTGCAGAGCAGTCTGGACATGTCTGGACAGTCTTGGTAGAAGGATTTGCCTTGAGCACGTGCACCCGAATCCCAGCTGATGCCTCGGAGCCATCGCGATGGGGAAAGTGCTTGTGACGTCGACGCGGCTGAGGTTACGCCAGAACATCAAGGTACAACAAGCCTCTGACAATCAAGTGAGAGCAGGTTCTCTGTAAATAGCAGACGTGGAGAGCACTGCCTGAAGTTCGAAAGAGCACTTTGCGCAAATGCTATCCTCGACAGTCTGTGCTACAGGCGGCGTGATCCCAATCCCTCCAGTCATCTTACCGAAAAAAGTGGTTTGGACCTGGTGTAGTGTAAAAAGACAGCTAACTGCGCACACAGGTCTGACCAGGTCTGACTGGATTGTGTCGCTTCCGTGGCCTCTCGGGGCCAATAACACCAAAAGAAGCGAAGCCTGTGAGACTGACCAAAAGAAAGGCGCTGAAGGACCCAGCGCGAGGTTGGCGAAGTTTCGAGGCTTTCTGCTTCACTTCATGGCTGAAGGCTAGACCAGAGGCTGCACTTTGCACTCGCTTCCTGCTCAAATCGACAGCGGAGTGCATTGCCTAACAGGCTGTTGAAACTCTGCTTTTTCGCAAGTCTAGTCACATTAAGTAAGCAGATGGTAGTAAAGCAGCATTCGATTTGATTTTAACGTTACCTCAAGTACGGAAGCAGACGGAAGCCCCTCGGCACGATCGGGAGGCCGAAAAATTGCACAGGCGAGGTGCTGCCGAATGTGCCACAGCCTTCCTGGAGTATCGTGCTAGGCGTGCTAGGTGTGCTAGCAGCTAGTTCGCACGGTCCTTCAAAATCATCAAACGACTTTCTTTCTGTTGCCTGACGCAAGCTTCACCTGGATTCTTGCTTGTCACAGGCACCATCTCATCCACGCGTTTCATTGGTGTGGGCACTCAGCAGTTCGATGGCTTTGCTCTTGTGCCAACCTTGGCATGTCACCCAATCGGTGGCCTCCAAGGGATAATGATGCGGTTCGGAAGGACAGAACCTGGGCCGCAGCCGGTCAACCCGCCCCTCCAGCCCTGAAAACCCAAGGATTGTGGGTCTATGCGTTCTATGTGCTAAGGAGCCTGGAGCTATACCAGACGTGACCCAGACGGCCGCCCCTGGGACCGAAAGGGCCGAGAAGGCCAAGCCATGCACCAAAGCAGTCAGGAGATAGGAAGGTTTTGGAAGAAAGAAACAGATGGAAGATAGGAAGGAGAGGCCCCAGAAACGAAGCGCCGCAGGGAGCCGCAGTGCGAGCTAGGGTCGGTGCCTCGGAGCCTTGAAAGAGTGCCTTTAGGCTCAGACTCTTCGCCTCATGTTTGTAAAACCTTTCCGTACGTCGCTGCTCCACCGATGCACCTTTGGCAGCCTTTGATTTATAGAGCCCGCGGTGCGCACTCCGCTTGACCATCGCGACAGTGATTGCCATTCAGTCGGCATGGTTGTGCTGCGATCTTTTTGCTTGCAAGGCTCAAGCATATGGTCCGATCTCACCATGCGTGGGCGGGACATCGGGTCCTCCAGAGCACTCTCACTACACTCCCAGTCTTAGTACACCCCTCACACTGTGAGCGGAAATACTGCATGCAGGAATGAGGTCTTCTGCCCAGTGAACAGAGACAGATCAGCCGTGTGGCTTGCGAAGTAGGCTCATCTCCTACTGCACTACGGGTGGAGCCATGCAGGATGCGCTTCGCGATGCATGTGCAGCACCTTTGTTAGTGAGTGCAGGAGCAAACACGCAACAAGTGAAAGAAGAGCTTTTGCGAGCACAGGGCATCCGCAGAGGAGGCCTACAGATCGAGGTGCTTGGAGGTGCTGCCGACGGCTCGTTGTCGCAGGAGAGTCAAAGGGACCTCACCGAGTCCCAGCGCAGGGGAGGGAACTCACCGAATCCCAGATCGATCGGCACGTCCCGTCGCTAGTCCTGGAAGGATCTGAGACTCTCACCTGACTCCCAGTCACGGAAGCAGCGGCGGCAGAGGAGTTAGCCAGTAGAGGCTTGGTGGCACAGCCCGTGGGAGTAGCTGGGGACGGTCCCGAGGCTAAGCAATAGGAGCGGTACTGGGACCGACAGCCGCAGCTGCGTGCAACATGGTGGCAAACGCCGTGGCACAACATCTTGCTGCTGCACATACTGCAGAGCTGCAGCGTGTGGAGGAGAGACACCAGACTCAGAAAGAGCAGGCCGTGGAGCTAGCTAAGGACTTGACACAACAGAACCAGGACTTGAGAGGAAGCAGAACGCTTTGCTCCTAGCTGCAAAGCAAGCGGTACAGCCTCAAGACCACGGCCTGCTTTTTCTCAGTCTGGTGTCTCTCCTCCACACGATGTGTGTCCAAGATCCATCTCTATGCTTTCCGAACAGTTTCGTCGAATCGGGACTGTGCGCAGTGGGCCTATGACATGGTGCTCAAGCAGATGGCCGCAGAGCCCAATCCATGGTTTCGCTGGTCCCGGGGCAGGCCCTCTCAAGGCAACCTTCGCGTGTTACGGCATTTTCCAGGAGTGAAGTTCCAGACCATGTGTCTCATCCATTGGTTTATGCTGGATGCCCATGTCACTACACAGGTCCAAGAGACGCTCAACTATGAACAAAAACCCAGATACCCGCGAGGACGACCTGCTGTGAAACCTGAGAAAACTGAAAAGCTGCCAAAGGCTAAGGCTAAGACTAAGAGTGCTTCGAAGAAGCGCCCATCTGCTGTGCTGGACGTTCCGTGGGACATGGATTGCTAGCGAGTTCAACTGCTCCTGTGTCGGAGTCTCCCGCTGTCTTGCGAGGATTCTTCGTAGTATTCGCATCAAGCTTCAATTTTTGCGTCTGAAGGCTGCCGTAGAGGCCCTGTACTTTAAGAGTCGATGCGCTGTGTCCAAGGAAAACTCCAGGGAACAGCTGCTCTGTTCTCATCAAAACCTAATCCACCGCGTGCTCCGCATGTTGACCTCGCTTAGGCCTCCTGGCTGTTCGATGTGTTGGATGTTCTCATAGATCCTTTATCCCCGAAATGAGAAAATCAACGTACATAGTATTGGGAAAACGTCCCTGACATCCGAAACACCTTAAAACCAGGCAAATCCCCTGTGAAACACAGCCAAAATCATAAAATAACCTATGTCGTAGAGACAGCTCAGCTCAATGTCCAGAATTTGGCCAGCGGAACATTGCAAGGTTGCGTCATGCCGTGTACTGAGGTCAGCGAAGGATCCGGATCGGGTTCAGGGTCTGGTGGTTCAGGATCTGCCGGCAACAGTTGGGAACAGGCCTGTGAGAAGCATTGGTCCTCAATGATGGCGTGACTGGTGTGATAAGCAAATCAGGCCACGAGCTCCAGTGGTGGCAGTGGGCCTCAGCGTGGTGAAATCAGAGATGATAGCGGCTGCTAGCGAGCATTGGCCTGCTGCCCAGGTCATTCAATCTCCTACAAGGCTTTGGAAGTCCTCCAAAGTATTGCCGCAAGTGCCTCTGCTTGATTGTGTCGGTTCGAGGCATGAACTCTTGGAGAGTTTCGCTCAGCTGCATTGACGGTTTCTGAAGGCTCAGGAATTCGGGGAGACTGGCGCTGACAACTTGTTGACAATGCGCTCACAAGCATATGGCCTCCTGTGACTTTCGTCAGCTCGCACCGCAGTGACACGACAGGTGAGGAGTCGCCGTCACCGAAGCCGTCACCGAAGTCGCCATCAGCAGCAGCACTTCAGTTCGGCCGAGTTCTTATTCGGTTTTTCATGGAATAGGGCAGGGATTTTGCAACATCCTGGATGTTTTTGGCATCACTGGCCATGGACGATGCAGCTGTGTTTTTCCCTCCGGCTGTGGGATACCGGGGACTGTTCTACGTTTTTTGCAAATTGCAAGAGCATTCACGCCTCCTTGGACCAGGTCTTGCTGGGACCCTGAGCACAGCGGTTTCTCTCACACCGTTCTTTCCGGGCAGCAAAGGGGAAGGTGATAGCGGTCCCAGAACAGAGTTGAGCACTGTGCATGACGATGTTTGCCAGGGCTGCCCTTGCTGTTGACTTCTGCGGGACTAGTAGGTGCTTTGATCTTGAGCTCCAGGTCTGCCAGGCATTTGTTCCGAAGCACCAGGTCATGTCTTGGTTATCGGTTTGGAGAACCCACGTGCTTGTCCCGAATTTCCGGGGGTGAGGTCGATCGACCGCTGAAGAAGTAAGACCTGCAGCTGACTGCATGCGACCCAGACGGGCTGTGCTGTGCAGTGAAAAGGGCTGGTCGCCGCATATCCGAGGTGATGAGGACGAGGAGCAAGCCGCATCTGCCAGTGCGCGTGTCAGGCAGGTCCGCACGGAAGTGTGTCCCAAGCAAAAGATTGCCAGTGCTTTCAGGGCATTAGCATGTGAGCACACACTGCAACGAAGTTTCTAGAGAAAACCTCGACCGAACATCCATCTCGTGAAGCCGTCTTGATCTGAAGAGTGCCGTGGTCGCTAGGGCGGCGCCGTTCCTTGCATTGTCTTCAGTTCTCACTCAAGGTTTCTCTTTGTGTCCCTTCGCACGACGACTTCCTGAGACCAGTCTCGGCTCGAAGACCAGGCAGCCTGTGCCATCGCGGCCAAGACAAAACAAGCCCATCAAGTGAACAGCTGAAGGTGGATTGCAGAAAACAAGATGCCTGTATTTCAACCTCCGATCCAATGAAACGTGCTGTTTGTCTTAAAAACGGCAAGGTTGGCGGGAGGGCAAAGGTGCTTTCCGGGTGCTCCGATTGCGAAGCTTGCTTTGATCAGCCAATTCCGAACATGGTGATTCTCTTCTTGACCGCCGGGTTCTTTTTGAATTTGAACAGGTACGCACAGCTTCATGGTACATGTAGGATGGCTGGGTCAGCTTGCTGTGGAGTCCACTAGCTGACTCGCACTACTCGCCATGGTCGAGTGCTGTGCAAAGAAGCTTCATTAGTCGATAAATGCTAAGTACACCATGAAGCAAAAAAATCCGAGCAGTTGCTGCATCATGCTTGAAGCTTCAATTCGCGAGCTGGCAGGGCCAGCTGGCTGCTGATTTGGTGCCACGAGTGCCAAGCCTAGAGAGCAAGCCGTCAGCAGCTTTGTGCTTCAGTGGGAGATCCCTGGCAGTCAACACGCAGTGGTTGCAAGCATCGTGCAAGATGCCTTTATCTGATTGCTTTGATATCTGTACTTCTCCTTTGTATCTCTAGGGCTTACGTCTTGCTATTTCTGCTGCGCCATCTACACACATATGAAAATGCACATGCGGCACATGCGCAAAATATGGACACATAGTGCGTGTGTGTGTATATAATATAAATAAATAAATATATATATATAGATGTGTGTGTGTGTTGTTACATGCCTATGTGTGCGTGCGCACGCATAAGTTCTGCTGTGCGGGGGATTGACGAAGAAGCTGCACGAAGATGAGTTTCTCTCGAGATTCGAAGGTGGTGAGGCTTTGGATTTCCATGGACGCGGCGTCTCCGATTTGCGTTGTGGTGGGGCTTGTGAGAAGTCAGAAGCTGGCTCCGGGAGGGAATCGCACATCCGAAGTGCCATTGCAGCTGGGATTGCAACCGTTCAGTGCCAGCTGTCGATTCGAGTTCGCAGGGTGTGCTGACCCTTCGCTATTATCTTGTCGATTTTCTCCCTGGTCGCCGCGATTACATTCGCATTCAAGATCACAGTAGTGAAAACGGGGACGCAAGGGAAGTAGGCGTGCAATTCAAGGCAAAGATCAAGGAGTACATATATAATCCAACGAGAGCTCCTCAGACTACAGTGGGGTGATGGCTTGAACATCGGACACGTTGTATATCTTGACTACCGTGAAATGCCGCAATGCGTGCAACCCCGGATGTGATCGACTCAAGCGGGTGCGCACCTCACGCATCCCAACCGACGGGCCTTCCATCTTGGAGGAGCCGGCGCGGATTGCCATGTGGAGTTTGTGCGTCAGGGGCTTGGTGCTGCTACGCTTGGACCTGCAATGTAGGAGTCGCCTGCGGTTGCGGCAGTTGCTGCCAAACATGCCGGCGCCAACGATCCGACGACGGGTACTTCTAGGGCTTGGGTCCTGGTCGTGATGGCGAAGGGGTCTGATGCCCGTGACAGATGACAAGGTGGCCGTGTCTTGTGGGACGGCTTGAAGAAAGTGCTGAGCTTGTCTCTCGCGACGAACGCATCGGGTTTTCTCTCGGGGATCCATAGCTTTAGACGCGGTCGATGTACTGTGAGTGGCTCCGCAACCTGCGAGAGACGATCAGTGAACTCGTGGAAGTCGAATGTACGCAGTTGGTTGATTTTCAGTCGCCGAATCGTGTTACGCCAAACATCTCTCATGGGTGGCGCAATCTGGCGTTGTTTGAACTCATTGCCGGCATGAAGCAGCTGCTGGCGGAGACTCACTCGTAGAATCTGGCGGCGCCCTCGTATGACGGCGCCGACCATTTCACGCGGACAACCTTCAGGCCTGTGGTGGCATCCCTTCCTTGACGGAGTTCGTTTCCAAGAAGATGCAGCACGAGTCGCAGGTTTTGAAGGAGCATCCCAAGCTCAAGGAGGTCAAGGGCAAAAGGCCGAGGTGAAACTCCAGAGGAACACCGGAGCAAGACATAGACAAATTGGTGGCGTAGTGTTCTGCTGGGTGCAGTTGGGTGGGGCACCCCTTGTGTTTTCAATGATTATTCATGAGCTCGGGGTAGGAGATGTGATGTTTCCCTCTGCCGCTTCTGACACCTCCACAAAAACCAGGTCCAGGACTCAGTCGCGCCGTGGCGTGTCGTGTGCATGCCTTGACTTGTTACACAGATTATACTTGGCCACGCGATGGTTGTATGCGGCATGCATTTGAACCGCTGCGGTATATATGTGCTCAGGCATCTGCGCGACTTTATGGAAAAGGGCGGCCCGCCCTAACGACTGTGAACCGTGAAAAGGCCATGGGTCCAAAGTGTTTGTTGGAAAAATTCGTGCTGGTTGGTGACCTGCGGCGGGAATGGTCTGAGAAGGTGACCGCTATACAGACGCTTTTCCGGAACGGTTTGTGGGCCGGGATGTCCTTGTGACATAGTTCGCAGTGCGCAGCATTGGCAGCTCAGGTTGAGTGAGACAGAGAGACTGGCCCTGCTTCCGGAGACATGGCAGCTTCGTTGAGGAACCACACGCCGGGAAATCGGCGCTGCAGTCGTCCAGTTGGAGGATACCCATAACAAGTCATTCGCTGAAGCCCCTGACTCGATGATGGTTCCGAGTAGGTGGCACGCAAATGCTCATGGATCGTCTGGCCGACACTGGTGAACATTTCACACTCACGGAGCGCCGAACGCTGGTTTTGGCAGCTAGGCGCATGGCGAGAAACACTCACAGCAGACGTAAACTTCGTTTTATGATCGTTGTTAACATGCTGTTGGCAGCTGCTGTCACGAATGTACGTGGTACTAACTTGGCTTTGTTGCGCATTACCCAGCAGCTTAGCGCTCTCTGCTTGGTTGGGGATGTCCAACTTCGCGTGCGATGGGTGCCCAGTGAACTCAATGCCGTAGCAAGCCCACCAGTCGTGGTCTTCGAAACGAGCTGGAAACTTCGACCAGAGCCCTGCAGCCAGTAAGGTACCAGTGGTGTTCATGCGAGGGCCAGAAACATGTCAAGGCGGCGAATCCCAAGGACCGCGCTGGGCCGTCGAACAAGACAGTCAGCACGCCTGCGCCGCTCAGAAGTGTGACAGTGAGGCATGTTGTCAAGCTGGCCCAATCCAGCGAGCTGCCATTCCTGGGGACTAAGAGTGCTTCCTAAGCTTCGACAAGTTCAAGAGTTTTAGCAGCAAGCGGCGCGGGGTCGCCGAGCTCATGTCTTGAAGGGGCAACGTGGAACATAAAATCCTGTGTTGGTTTGAACCGGGTCTCCTTCTATTCAGGTCAGAAGCTGTCGGGGTAGACATCTGCGCGGTGACCTTCGCCTCTAAGGACTTGACAGGACTGCGATGCGACGAGCGACAGAGGGTCGCCATTGCCAACCGCAGCCTGTTTTTTCGCTGTCGGATACGAGGCGGCTGCGTGGTCTTGGTTGATCCTCTCCATCTTCCCAACCTTTTGTGCAAGCTCACGTTGCTCAACCTCCTGCCTACCCCCTTGATGTCCCACCTGCTTCAACTGACTAGCAGCCTGTGAGAGGAGCTCGGCCATGCGATCCAGCGTCGGTGTGTTGCTAGCCACGGCTTCGACTAACTGGAGACTGTGAAGCCGACCCGTGCGCACAACCAAACGTGAACGTGATTGAACAGGCGTGCCGTAGCTTTACACCAGGGTGCACCGAATCGGCAATAACTAGACGTCACCCAATGAGGGCGCACTGCGCAACCGTTTTATGCATCCCATTTCCTCTCCATGGTGATGCAGCAAAAGGTTGCTCCCCTGGCCACCTTACAGGCGCCACCAATGACAGGGTGTGCTGGAACAGAAGGCAAGAGCCCTCCTGCCTGATGAATGTCAACAGCAATGGAGGAGCCTGGAACGATGCCCATGACCTAATCTGTTCGTGGTCCACGACACGAACCGGTATGATCCTTGCAGGAAGAGGAGTTCTCCGTAAAGGATCGTTCACGTATATCATCATGAATTCCTCGTACCGCTTCAGACTCAGCAGGTAAGATGTAGTGGGAAACATCGCAGCAACGTGGACACCCTCGTAGCTGAAAGGCGTGTGCATTCCATGAGGAAAGGCCATTGCTTTGGGTTCGGTAGCAATCTCCAAAGGAGAGAAGCTACCCAGCCCACCGGCGCGGGTTCGCACTTCTGACTCCTCCAAAGGAGTGGTGCTTCCCCGCTTAGCCCTTCCACACATTCGTTGCTCCTTATAGTCGAGACCATTGTGAAGTCTCGTATATTAACGACTTTCACATGCACTGTCTTCAGGATCGCTGATTGCTCTCCCTACCTTAGCACTGGAATGAAGCTAGCTGCGAACATGGTCGGCAGATGACGCCCGCGCTTCAATGAATGCATCCACTCAAGCTGCACTTAGTTGCGAGTTTGGCACGATTGGAGAAAGGTTTGCGCAAGATGCTTTCAATGTCAGAAAAGTTTGAAATCACGCACCTACGCCCAGTAAATCTTCCTGTAGCATCGACACTGTCAGAGTTTGCCCTTTCTAACCTTGCTGCTTGAAACAAGAGCGTGTAATTCAGGCCACGACCAACATGAGCATGAGGACGATACCAAGAGAAAAATAGACGCGGGTAACTCCGCACACTTCTTCAAAAGGCGTTTGAGAGGTTTCAGAATCTTTCGTAAACGTTTGTCCCTTCGCCTGATCGCTAAAGCGCTGCCACAAAGAGCACAGACGTCTGAAGGTTGCTTCCGCATAATTTCTTGATTTGAGCCACAAGAGAATCCTCCTGGGCACCATCGCCCGGAGGTAGTGTGCTCGCGACGTGAGCACACCGCTTCGCAACCTGAGGGTCGTCAATGCCGCATGAACCGTTGCCTAAGCTCACAACGATCCTCTCGGCATCTCCCTGCTGTCATCGGCATGCACGTGCTTTGCCTGAGACTTTTCTGAAACTGAGGCACCAGCTTGGTATTCGCGGCAACGTACTCCCACTCTTTCTTGCAATACTTCACGAGAGAGTGTTCATCATGTCCTTGGACGAGTGTCCTTTGACGAGTATCCTTTGACCATGAGAGCATCCATCGATCTTGATGCTCTTCCACTTTGCGTCAGAATATAGCAATCGATACTGCGGAGCTGATCTGAGTCTCCGGCGGCACTTCCACAATCACCTAGGTCCCGGACCTCGCCGCAGGGAGGGCAATTCATTGGACGGCTCTAATACCTCTGCGCCGACGAAAATTGGCGAGATTGCCGAGTTCTGCCGGGATGTCTGCACATCGGCCAAGTACGAACACATGGCATCATCGACCTGTTTGCCAGTGCACAGCACATTCACCTGCAAATATGGGTCATATTCGGGTCCTGCTGCAGTCTTTGCCTGGAGGAAATTCGTTCCACCAGTTGTCGTCGTCAACTCCGATCAGAGACCAAGTGGTCACATCTTTTGGAGCATCAACGATCATGACATGAATGCACCATGTTCTTGTCACTGTCGTAAAAACTCGGATACCAAGCAGTTCTTGTTTTCCTGAAAGTCGACCACATGTGGTACGATAGCTTTGCCATAGCCTTGCAGTTCTCGTCGTTTGAGGGACATGTGTTCCCACACATCCTCGATCACCTTCGTCCATTTTGTGGCACCCGTGTACCGGATTCTTTGTGAATAGGGACGACAATTGAATCGAAGAGGTAAAGGTAAAGCCCTAGTACCCCCCATGGAGGGCGCGTGCAAGCGCGGCAACCGCCGCCCGTCATTCCGGCGCGGCAAGGCTCGCATAAAGCAACACCCATAAAGCGGGGATGGGGCACAGTCCTTAACCGAAGCTTCCGGTCGTAATCGGCCACGAACCGGATGAAATTGGAACGCAGCACGTTCGACATAGCGGTCCAACTTGACGGGCTGGTGCTGAATGGCAGCATGGTCCTCCGCCTGGTGCGACTGCTGGCGGATCCCGCAACATGCGCGGGAACTTGACAGCCAAGATGGGATCCACACTGTCGTGCTCCTGCAGCCCTTCCTTAATGGACAAACTTGTCCGATATAGCATCTGCGGCAATGTGGGAGTTTCCATGTAGGGGAAGCAAGGCACCTCGCCTTTGAACGAGTAAAGCTGTTTGCCCTTCTCATCCGCGCTTGGGGAATGAGTAGGCCGCAGCAAACCCATCATGAACCAATGAGGGCTGGCGGAAAATGTTGGTCAGCTGACGGACCTTGAACGATTTGGTATCTGTATATCCGCCGCCATCTTGGCAGTGACCTTATAGGCAAGTGACGCGTAACCTTCTTGGAAGATGGCATGCATCCAACCAATACTGATCCCGTGGGTACGCTCCAAATGGCACATGGCAGGATTCTGCCAGTCCGATCATGGTCTGGTTGTCATCGTAGAAGATGAAGTTGGGGTGTTGCCCCCGAACTGCTTCCACAACGTGATAGCAGGTAACCCCAATCGAGTCATGGCAGCTATAGCAAATGCAGCCGCGACAATCTCGGCTTCAGGTGTAGAGTGACTTAATAAGGACCCTTGCCTTTTGCTTAATCCCGGGAGGAAAGCGTGTATGTGGTCCTTGAGTGTTCATGTGAGCACCAGGGGTCGACTTCCGGCTCTCGCAACATCCGCATAATCCGCATCTGCAAACAGCCCGATAGATGAGGTCATGAAGCCGACATACTGGAGCAGCACACAGTAGCTTCATCAAGATACTGGCTGCCCGCGGTGCCAAAGCGCCGCGAGTAGCCCCGCTGACTTCCTCCTCCTCTGGGCACACGAGCAACTTCAATGTTGGATGGAAGTACAATGATGGCCATTCATCTCCGATTGGCTTAAGCCCGACCTTTTGTACTGCTGTGTGGCAATGTTGTTTCCACATGGTACCCGCATCCGGGTGTCCGTGCAGAGCTTTAACGAACCGACCTACAGGTCAACGGAATTTGTGCTTGTTGGCAGATGGATGCCACGCTTCATCAGGTAATTCC